TTTACAAAATAGGTTTTAAGGTTTTATCTCCACAAGATCATGAGTCAATTAAGGCTAGACCAACATGGAAAACATGGAAGCACTGGACGGCTAATTTGTGAAAACTTCACTATGGTGTGACTTATCTATCGAGTATTTGATCATGATTACAAATTCAAGTCACCACATTCATTTTTCAATGAAAAATGATTGTGGGGAAATTCATGATGTTAGAGTAAGTCAGTTTAGAACACAACTCAAGAACTTTTGATTCGTTGTGATAATCAGCAATATTTGTTTGCATCAAGTTTCTGTGACCAGGTGTTTATTAGTGACCTTTGAATGTATCGTGAGAATGATGATTTATTAGCAGAATGGGATCTTAGATAGGAAAAAGACCGGATATATAATTGACGTAACAATTCTTTCGAATTTATGAAGTTTCGATGAATATTCGACGAGCATAAACAAAGTCAAAGCAAATATTTATGTGACCAGTATTTCAGTCAAATGTTAATTGTTTCGTAGGTATATTCGTCAAGATTAGAACGAATAGCTTAACAAAATTGGACACCCAGTGTAGAGAAGTCATTATATGTGAAAATTATATTTGAAATAATCTCAGTGATTGAAATTTAAATAATTCCAACATTTGATCCAACTAACGTGTCTAGACGTCTTCAGGGTAATAATCAAAACCAAAATTGTTTCACAGAGATGGACAGTGGCTAGCAGTGGAATCCACGACGCGCGTTTCGTCCTATTTGGGACTCGTCAGCTGAATGTAACTGCATCTCAGAGTTGATGTTCACTCTGGGATTCGAACTCAGTACCCTCGCTTCAAACGCCATCGCGTCATCCACTCGGCCACTGAGTCCTGATAGCCACTTGCTTGTGCAATGGGGTGAAGTTTAAATTCAAACAAACAATACCAAATGAATTCAAAATTGTTTCAATTCTGAAAATAGATCAACAGGATGGAACATTGATAAATCAGAAAGATAATAATCAATATTTTCATATTTGAAACGAGTAGTAGCCTTAATTTTGAATAGTACAACTGCGTTCACATGGGTTCTGGTATCTTCGTCTACCAAAAATCTCAAACATTATGTTATAAACAAATAGGAATTCTGATTAAGATTTACCTTTTATATATGAGACAATATACAGCACTCATTAATGAAAGCATTTTAAAATTTAAGAGACTCTTTCCATTTAGATTATGCATAACCATATTTCACTTTATCACTAATTAATTCATCGTTAGCTACCTGGTACCTTAAATTTTAAAATCATACATTGAATAAAAGAATTCATCAATCAATAAAGAACAAAAGTGAAGTTTTAATTCGTTTTCGTACTGATTATTTTAGTCTTCACATTGATGTTTAGGACTGCAATTAATCATTTTCTTATTAGCATATATTGTATGAAACTGATCAATTTCATTCCTAAACATCAATGGAAAGACTCGAACAACCAATACAAAAATAGATTAAAGCTTCACCCGATTGCGAAAGCAAGTGACTATTTGGAATGCATAGTTAAGTGGATAATGCGAGTGTTACTGGATTCGAGTCTTGGAGTGAATACCAATTATGAGATGCAGGTACATCCAGCCGAAGAGTGCGAAATAGGATGAAACTCGGATCATGAATTTAATTGCTAGCCACCATCCATCTCTGTTTTGTCTCAATCTTGACTGTTCCTTCTGCAAATATCAGCCCACGTCTGATTTCATTGTTCTTTCATTTTCATAGAGATTGCGCTTCGTTCCTGTTCTTTCCTTATTGATCTTCTGCCAAAATACATTCTATGCCTGACCATCACCATATACTACTTATGTGGATATCAGCAACCTACAGCACACTGTAACTATATGCGCTTGAACTAATGTGTAATCGAGTAATTATCATTTTCAGAGTGTCTTGTTATTCTTACTTGTCAAAGTATGGTCACTAGTCTAAATGAATCAGCGAAAGTGTAAATAAGGTAAAGGCTCTAGAACAAGGTGAATAAAAAAAATTGAATGATCATTTAGGCGTATTTGCAATACTGAAAGAACTGAACTTCTCTTTATTGTGAATATCCTCTCTGCGATATCGGATTATATCAGTTTATATCTGATTGTAAACACCAGATACAAACTCAAAAGTGACAAATCATAGCTACTTGGTTGAAGTATAGAATCATAATGAATGATAGATTTCAGGATTTCTAGTAATAATTAGCATTTCACACTGAAGGACAAATTCTTTTGTGCCCTGACAAAATAATGAATTGATCGTAATACATTTCGTCTACTTATTTAAGAAATGAAAAATGCTATCGTGATATCACTTAAACAAATCGAGTTTGTCAACAAATGTAAACATGCTATGATACTGAATTTATAAACAACACACTATTATTTGATAGCTTGTTGCTTTGAGTAAGTAAACTCTAATAAACATTTTACTGAAAATTATCATCATTATTGGTTCTGAGAATTGTGAAGTCCGAAAATTCATATCAATCAAGACCTTTAGGAGTTATTAGGTGTAGTGTGAATGGATAGAAATAGGGTTAACCGTAGAGCAATTTGTTATTTGATAAAAGGCAACAGTAGTCAATAGATTTATAAGGCAGAATGGTTCCGAAAAATGAAGTTTAAGTTTTTCACGAAAACGGTTTAGTCAATAAATTTCAGAACAGATGAATAAGGCAGCAGATACAAATTCACTAAACTAGTTTTTAATTTTCATTGGGGTCATGAATCGATCAATCTTGAACCATCATTGAAAACCTGGAAACACTGAACGACTGTTTCGTTTTAGTATGTAACTTCTTAGAAATGCGCACACGGGATTCAAACCCAATTCCCTCGGTCTCTCGCACAAACTTGGATCCGGAATGTGTGATTGTATATAATCACTGATGAGTCACATACTAGGATGAGACAGTCATCCAGTGCTACCACGTTTTCATTCATAGTTTAACATTGATTGACTCATAATCTCAATCAAAACTTAAAAATCTCCACAACCGTATACTGATAGTTTGTAATTGTTTGAGAATCATTCCTTGATAGTCCATTTTATGAAATGAACTATACAGAAACATCAAGTTTATTGGAATAGATGTTAAAATAATCAAAAGTTTAGACAAAATAACCGATTCTACAGACATATCTGTAGAAGTAAATCAGATATCATTTCTCCTTAGATTATAAATTTAAAGAATAATTCAGAAAGACTTAAACAAAAATATTTCTGTGAATTGATTGAATTATTTTAAAATTATACTAATCTATCATATATGGAACAAAAACATTAAAATGTAATTCCAAGTTGTTTTTTTGTTTTTTTTTTGAAAATGACAAGCAAGTATCTGCAAATGTTTGTTCTGAATTTGTTCTTTGAATTAAACTGACACTATGTTCAACAGTAAAACAAATAGAAACTTATACTGTTAACCAAGTTCAGTAAAAGAAAAACGAAGAATGTATATATTTTATGGTTACAACATAATTCGACTTAATTAAATCAAAAATGAACAATATTTGAGCGAACAATTGTTTTCAATAACTTCATCATCAGGCTCTACAGTTATAAGTCCTCATAATTATTGTGATATTTTACAAAGTCCAAAATGAGGCATGTATTAATGAATTTGACAATGTTATATGTTAAAAATGGTAAACGTTTGCATCTGTTACGACATATATATATCCTTTAAAATTGTGTTATTTGTAAATTAGAAAGGTCATTTAATAATAAAGGTCAAAGTGATTTGTAATCAAGTGTCTAGTCACAATTAATATAATAGTAATTTAGAAAAAATGAAAATGCAAAAAATTGTGTGAATAAAGTGCATAGTAGGAGAATTTCATCTTGTCAATTGAGATAATAATGATAAATAGTAATGGTAATAATAATAAGATTGTTGTGCGAATATAATACGTAATAAAAGGGGGATGTTATCAAGATAATTACGATAAAGGAATTGGGAATGATGGATGTGAAGATTAAGATAGAGGTGATCAACAAAGAAAAAAAAAAAAAAGGGGGGGGGTTATAATATTTAGTTTAGGAAACCGGTGATCCAGTCGTAGGCCAAGGTAAACATAGTGGCTGGATATACTTTTTTTGGATGCATAAATTTGGTTTTCTAGAGTTGATCCAGATGGCTTCGGCTATGTAAAGTAATCGTAAATCAGTTTCATATTTAATGGTTTTGGAAAATGTATTCCATTAAATAGTTTTATTGAGAACATAGATTTTTCAGATAATGAACACGATAGAAAGGAATGATTAACTTTAGTCTAAGTGAAATACCTTTCAATATCTGCAAATAATGCAATTGTGAAACTGAATATTATTTTCAGTATAGGGTTGTAGGGATTGTTGAATCTCATTGAGGACATGGACTAATCAGAGTCAGATCACCATTGAAACCATGGAAACAATGGACGGTTGTTTAGTTGTAGTATTGGACTCTTGACAAATAAGTATTCACCATCCCGAACGCGATCTCGCACGCGAACGCTTGGGCTCTAAACCACAGAGCCTGAATCCAACGTTGTTAATGTTTAACTTTAACAAATCCAATATATTTTGTGACCATATTTCGTCGTTTTTGATAGGTAATCGCCTCATATCCGAGACGTCTGGACTTCACCAGTCCTGGCTTCCTACTAGAACTCTCATACTCGGACGAAACGAATGGTTTGGCTTCAATTGATTCATGATCTCAACTATCAAAATTTCTTATATAATTGTTATTTTCTATTTTATGATGTGATGCCATCTGATTTGCTTGTATATAAACTATTTATGTCTAAAACACATGATTCATACAATAGAGGCTGGGATTGTGTTCTGATTCAATGGGCAGGGCTGGACAAGAAGTTACTATTTTTAAGACTAATAAACATTGAAAATTGACACAAGTTTACTGATGTTCGCTAATGTGTCATTGGTCTAGCACAGGAACAAGGTCATATAATAACGGTATTTTGATTGGTGATTTTGTCACAACGGCAAAAGGTATAACAGTGTATTTGATATTGTAACGGAATCTAATTGATGTGATATTTTAAACAAGTATGAATTTAATGTAATAACAGAAATCCGATATCAACTTACCAGTAAGAGATTTTATTACATTTAATTCTTTTTTTGCGATACTACTTAATTAGGTAATCTATTATGTAATTACTGAACATAGAAAGTTTTAATATTACAAACTGATATCATAAGGGGACTCATGATCTTAACTATACAAACTGATATGTTTTAAATGAATAAGACTTACTGACTGTATGATGTTAGTTTCTTTACTACATGATTTTGATGAAAACTATCAATTGTTACATTCACTTGGTTTTGTTTACTTGTATCTTCCCATTGTTATTAAGGGCTACAATTGATCAGTCTCTTGTTGGTATATGTGCATCCTGTACGGACTGCCTCGATATTGCCTGAAGTCACAAACTTTATAAGTAAAGATGGATGCAGATATATCCAACTGACAAGTCCCAAATAGGACGAAACGCTCGTCCTGAATTCCACTCCTAGCTGTTATCCATCTTTGCTTATTAATTGTTGCATTTTAAATTTTCTTAAATTATAACGTAAGAGAACAACAGAAAGAACAATCACTTTTACAGGTACTTATTATCAAATGAATAAGTATTTGCTTTATTTTGAACAGAATATGGTCAGAAATAAAGTCAATTAAACTGATCAAATGATATTCATTAATATCATAAAGACAGAATGGTCTTACAGAGTACTGTATCTAAAATTAACGACAGTTAGACATAAAGACCATCGAATGCCGGCTCAGTGGTCACTCGGTTAAGTGCTCTGACGCGAGACTGGTAGGTCCTGAGTTCGAATCTCGCGAGGCGAGGTCGTGGATGCTCACTGTCACTGAAGAGTCCCATAATAGGACGAAACGGACGTCCAGTGCTTCCAGGTTTTCCTTGGTTGTCTAGCTTCAACTGACTCATGCTTTCAACTATAAAAACATGATTTGTTGAGATAGTTTGAAATGTACTAAATAATTAATTACTGTATTTTTGTAATTCGATATTCGTTCAACTACAAGAAACAACAAAATACTTGAAATGTAAGTCAAGTCTGTTACATAACATTTAATGTGTCCACCTGGATCGATTCAAGCGATCATGGGTTATCAATGATCATTCAATGGAGAATGTAACACAAATCAGAATTTAATCATCTTGCACATGGTTAATGAATTCTCAGGTTGATTTTTCAAACTTTGGTCGTTTTAAAGACTAAAATTCAGATATTTGATCTGAACTCATAAGACAATTGAACCAATCAAGATTTATGCGATTATGGCAAACTAAAATTATTTATTTCATGTATGAAGATGCCTTGAATCACTTGTATATAACCATAACATCAAACAAACTTCAATATGCAAACGAATCAAATTAAAAAACACAAAATACCTCAACAATACCACTTCCACTACATAGTCGAAAGAAGCCATTACAATCAGTCATCAGAAATCTATATTATGGGTTTAAAATGGGATGATCGTTAATCTCTCTCTACCTTGGTGACAAATATTCCCTTATTACATCATAAAGAATTTTTTTAGCTCCTCCTTTTAGTTAACTACATCATTACGTCTTTTTATTTTGACTGTCTATCAGATTAGTAACCCTATTTCGGGCAACTGAGTTTTATTTATTTTGTTCTTACTTATTATCAGCGTTTATTTATTACATAATGACGTGTTTCTAGCCCTTTAGACTTTTATTATTATCGATGTTGCAGAATTTATACAAATAGTTGTCAAGTTTAGAATGCATAGTTTGACAAAAATTGGGCGACGAGTATAGAGAATTCATTATATATGAAAAAATTATATTTGAAATAATCTTAGTGATTGAAATTTAAATAATTCCAACGTTTCGTCCAACTAACTTGTCTAGACGTCTTCAGGTTAATAATCAAAATCATCAAAGAAATCTATAGCGTTTTTTAAAAATCATATCAAAATCTATACTGCGCTATACCAATCATATTTGGATGTTAAATTTTTATAAACAGGATAATATGAGTTAGGAGAGGTTTTTGTGGAGATTTAGTATTTTCATAGTTGAAAGCATGAGTCAGTTGAAGCGAGACCACCAAGCAAAACCTGGAAGCACTGGACGGCTGTTTCGTCCTATCATGGGACTCCTCAGCAGTGCGCATATGAGTTAGTTAAGTCAAGTGAAAAGTTCACAGTGTGAATTGCGTGTGCATGTATGTGTAAGAATGAGTTCTTAATGAATGATATTCGGTGTTGAGATGTTCTTATATCAAGTAAAAGTGCAAATTGAAGGTTGAAAAATTGTTGCTGAATCATTGAATCGCAAGTAAAAATGAGAATCATCAAGTACATAAATTGTAATGCTAAACATAACTCATATTGATTTCAGTTAAAATAATGATTCCTGTGAAATAAACAGGTTGAATAAAGAAAGAAAGGGTCCAATTACTTGTTGATGAATATTTGCCAAATGGTTGCTACCTGAATACCATCATTTCTGTTTAGGCTGTTCTTATTCACCCATATAGACAGAGCTTCTGTTGTCAGTCTTTCCTTATGAGTGTTAGAACCTTTCTGAAGTATTTTGGCGCCTTCAAAATTAATCCTGCGTCCTGTTTCTAACACATGTAACGCTATTCCAGACTTATTCTCAAGTTTCCTTATGTCAACCGAAGTTTTGGGAACATTTTTCAAACACTGTTTGTATAATTCAAACTTACATTCAATTGTCTGGATGTTTTTCCAATATAAGTTGCATTACAATCATGACAATTGATCTCGTAGACAATATTTTGTTGTTCTTCCTTTGGTAACCTATCCTTAACTTTCACCAGTGCCAATCTTACAGACCCACACGTCCGAAAATACACTCTTATATAATGCTTGTTTAGAATCGGCTTGATTTCTTCCGATGTTTCAGTAAGGTATTTGATGACTACAGTAGACTTCCAATCTTTTTGTGTGCATTCCAGTCTAGTGTTTCTCTCGTTTCCAACAATCTTCTTAAAAAACTCCTTTGGGTAGTTGTTATCTCTAAGTGTAGACATAATCCTATTCAATTCAGATTGTTGGTCTTCCTTGTCTTCTGGACTTCTGTTAAATAAATTTTTAACAACCGTGACTTTCGTACATAATGCATGAGTAGAACCAAAATCTAAGTATCTCTCTGAATGTGTTGATTTCCTGAATACATTTATTTTCAAATTACTATTATTATGTCTTCGCTAAACTGAACAATAGTTTGTGGTCAACGGACTCTGTTTCCCTCGTTAGATTAGTTCTCTACAAAATGTTGTTCATATTTTCAAACAATTACTCTAAGCAATCCCGTTTAATGATAACAAAAGTGTCAATCGGAGAAACTGATGAACCCATCGCTATACCTTCTTTTTGTCTGTAACGATCTCCTCGAAATATGAATAAGACGGACCTCAAACATAGTTTCAAGCATTTGAAAAACTCAGATGGATCTAATGGGTAACATAAATTCAAATCCAAATCAGATTCTAAACAAACATAAATAATATCCAAAGCTCCATTGATAGGTACTTCAGTAAATAAGGAAAAACACATCAAAACTTGCCATTACTTATTTCTCTTCTATATCGATGCTATCAGTAATATTTTTAAATTTCATAGAATTTTTCATTCCATGATTAATCAGTTTTTTGTACGGTTTAAGTATCCTAGCTAAGTATTTCGATAGGTTGTAGGTCGGTGAATTTGTAAAATCAATCACTAGTCTCAGTGGAGTACTATGCTTGTGATTCTTCGGAAGTCCATGGAATCTACAAGGGTTACAACTCTTTGGATATAACATGAACCATAATGACGATCCTAGTTTAACCTATAACGACTGTAAGATTTTACTAGTTTCAGCCTTAGGTTTATTAAGCCTTGTTTTACTATTTGTATCTTTAATTAGTTCACAAAGGCCCTCTTGCAGATGTTCCTTTGCTTTTTTCTCGTAATCCGATTTGTTCATAATAATCGTCGTGTTCCCTTTATCTGCTCTTGTATTGATGATTGTCTTATTATTTCTCAGCTGTTTTAATGCATATAACTATTTTTAGTCATATTCGATTTGTGTGATTTCTGACGTAATAACCTGGACATTATTTTATCCCTCAATTCCTTCGCTGTTTCACTAGGAAGCATATTCAAAGCTAGTTCTATTGCTGGTATAATATTGGAAGGCGATGACTGCGGTCTATTTATATTGGAACTGGGACTCTTTTTAAGTAATGAAATTTCGTAGGAGTTCATAATTCTATCAGACAAGTTAACTAACATTTTGCTAATGTCTACTGTGTTCGATTTATCTATAGTTTGTTGAACGTTGATACATGTTTCAATATTTTTCCGAACTTTCTAATGTGTCGTTGTTTTGATGATTGGTGATAAAACTGTTCTCCGTGTTTGAGAAAATTAATTTATATTTGATCTTATTTCTTTCGATGTGATAACTGATTGAATTTCCATAGCTGAAAGCGTACGTCAATTGAAGCTAGACAACCAGGGAAAACCTGGAAGTGCTGCTTTAAGGCCGTTTCGTCCAATTATGAGACCCCTCGGTGGTGCGCATTCACGATCTCGCCTCATGAGATTCGAACCCAGAACCCACCAGTCTCGTGCCAGAGCAGTTAGCCGATAAACCACTGAGCCGGCATCCGATTGTGTTTTTGTCTAACTTCAACCAATCCAAGAAGTTTAGCAACCGTTTGAATCTCACGAGGCGAGGTAGTGGGTGCGTACTGCTGAGAAGTCCCACAATAGGATGAAACGGCCGTCTGTGCTTCCAGGTTTTCCATGATGGTCTATCTTCAATTGACTCACGCCTTCAACTATGAAAATACTAAATCTCCACAAAACCCTTCTGACTGAATTTCATCGATATTACTGAATTTTGAACGTAGTGACTCCAAATTCATTAATTTGTAATCTATATGGTTTCCTGTTATTGACAATGATTTCGAGAATATAAAGAAGCAATGATGAACAAAATTCTAACAATTTCAGCATGGGTTTATGGAGATTATTGAATTTCATTGAAATAGTTAATTTAGACCGATAACAATGTGCTGTTCATCGTTAAGAGTCTTGACAAGTTACTGAAAGGTTATAAAAGTAAACAAGAATACCTTAGATCGGTTAGTATACTTAAGATATAATGATGAGATAACTTGAGAGATCAAATTTTACTCACAACGAAAGAATCGAAACAGGAATAATCTGATTTGATATAAAGGAATTGACCAAAATGATTTCGTAAACTAAAGTTTACAACTGTGGTACACGAGTAGGATGAATGCGTTTTTCAAATACGGATAGATTAGTTTACGCTTTCTGCATATCACAGATGCTTCATAAGTGTGGAAATAAGGCAAATTCACTGCTTTTGTTAACTTTCTACTCAACTCTTTATATTACTTTATTCTGTATAATTAAAGATACGTTTTCATTATCTTTCTCGCTATTATACCTCTTATTCAACTACTAATGTTTCAATGAGCAATCGTACCTCTCCAATACATACAATCGCATCAAACTAAGGCTTGTTTTATCTCTGTTTGTTGTTTTTCAGATCAGTTAGTGGTGTCATGCCAAGAACTAACGTTAGATATGCATTTAAAGGATTGAATGCTATTACAGGAGTGAGTTGACACTGTTTTTTTAATATTTTGAATGAAGTTTTTCAAGAAAAAAAAGCCATGTACATTTTTCGCAAGGTATTTAAAAAGTGTTTATTTGTTGTTCCCCTCATTTATTTTAAGGTTATCTGTTTAGCCACGTTGGTTGTTTGTGCAATAGCATTTTGGTCAAGAATTCCAGCAAATTTTCTCAAATCAGAAGTGAATAAATTTAAAGTACCATTGAATCCCAATAGTGTAGCACTACAAAGTGGATTGAACTACTACATTCGAAGTTTCTTAAGTAAGTTGGGACCCTCTTGTATTTTGTCATTATTAAGGATTATGTGTGTATGTATTCTTTTTTTTATATCTAATTTCAGTCTAATGCTAACAAAAATGGGTCCACTGTGGTTGTGGTAGATCTTGAATATGAAGTAATTTTGGTTTCAAATATATTAACAAATGAATCGGACTATTTCTAATTACTGACAATTGATACAACACCTTTATGGACTAACAACAGACTAGCATCACTATTATCATCAATTTCGAACACATATCACATGTCATGAGTCGTAAGGAAGTCTTATTCGTGATGCTGAGCTTATGAGATTGTATAATATCTGTTGAATGTCTCTTATTAGCTTAATTGGAAATACTATTTTAAAATATTTGAGTATGACTTTTCATGATAAAATGACTTCACTTGAAAAATTGATGACGACCAACAGGTGACGGAGAACTAACTTATTCTAGCTTTACATTCCTTAATTATGTGCATCTATGACTCAATATGGTATAGAAATTAGGGGTTTCAGGTTATGTAAAATTCATATTACTTAGAGGTCAATGATTCATATTCTGATTACTTTTAATTCTAGATGTGTCATCATGAATATCTAGTATCGTTAGTGATAAATAACTCACGATGGACTTTACAAGTCACAGTTTTTGATCTCATTTTATTACATTCAATTAAATGACTAGTAAGCGTTTAATAAGTGTAGAAATGTTTGAAATTAGTTTGTGAACGTTACCTGTTTCATAGAGTCGTATATATTATAAGTATTGATAACATATTAACGTATATGAAGAAAAGCGCTTACCTTTTACTGAAATATTGGATATCAGTTAAAGGAAACTACAGTTATTATTACAAGACACATCATTAGTCGTTTTCGTAATCTGCTTTTATTCTTTCGCACTATGAAGTATTCAGTAACTTAAGGTATATCAGAAGGGGTTTTTGTGGAGATTTTAGTAATTTTATATAGTTGAGATCTGCGATCCCGCCTCGTGAGATTCATTCGTTCACTAGTGACTGGCTCCATGAGGTATTTCCCAGAGTTCTAGTGAGGAGCAGTTACCAGTGGAGTTCAATCAGGTCTGTTAAGAGATATCAACTCACGGAAGACATTGGTGAATGGTTGCTCAATTTCGTAGGTTTGTTGAAGTTAGATATAAACACCATCGGATGCCGGCTCAGTGGTCTATCGGTTAAGTGTTCTGGCGCGAGACTGGTTGGAATCTCGAGAGGCGGGATCGTGGATACGCACTGCTGAAGAGTCCCAAAATAGGACGAAATGGCTTCAAAGCAGTGCTTCCAGGTTTTCCCTGGTGATTTAGCTTCGATTGACGCATGATCTCAACTATATAATAAAAACGTGAGGTATACTATAAAAAATCAAGGGTTTTAACTTTGAATTGTCTATAAATATATATAAACTAATTATTCACATTTATTTCTGTTATTTGTAAGACACTTTCCAAGTTTTAAGTAACATTTAAAATTAACACTGTAAAAAGTACAAAAATGTTGAATTCACAGTAGCTGACTTCATATCTTATCGGGATTTATAAAAACAAGATTTATCTGATCAACAGTGAAATCACTTCAGTACACGAAATTCCCTGGTATATTCAAGTGTGGCAAAAATACTTTGACGTTACCAAGCATTTACAGTTACTGCTACAGAAGTCCTACTCACTGCCTTCTCCAGGTGTGGGTGTTTTGATTTACAAAATTAAGAGAACAAAAAGTAAATGTACGACGCTTCAGAATCCTAAGGAACAAATGGCGTATGACCTTATGGTTGGTACCAGCTACAATGAAACAGCAACTCGTAACACTGCTCCACTACCTTAAGGACTAGACTTGTAGTTCAATGGCTCTGGGATTTTCCCCCGGGCACCCTGGAAGTATTCCAACCTTTACACAAATTGATCAATCTGTTTACCACACATACATATATTTGGTGCCTCTTTCTGTGTTTAAACGAGAAAATGATAAAGTTTTACATATTAAGATACTCATTTTTTTTAAAACTAACTATTTATAATGAAAAATTCTATTTTTATCAAAAATCAATGATGTTGATCTATTTATGATTGATGATTGAAAATCATATTCTATATATATATACAAGTCATTAAACATATAGATCTTGAATTGTAAAATTTTTTCGCTTCAACAATCATAAACACTTAAGTCTATATTTCATTATTGTTGCTATGTGAGCTTTTTTTTTTAATTTTTTTTTTAAAAAGAAAAACGTACTACACAAGTTTCAAACACAAAAACAATATTGATCAATCAATATGAGATAATTATAAAATCAATATGTTTTCCTCTTTTTTTTACTGTGGGTGTTCTTGTTTATAAACAAAACAATATGTTGACAATAATCACATGGATAATGAATAGATGAAATTATATTGTATAGTGCTTTCTTTCTATGTTGTCATCAACATTTATAATATAAGAAATATGAATAGTTTTGGTATATGTTTACTTTACGTTACTTGTTTCACGTGAGATGTTACACATATTACATAGTAACAAAAAAAAATGAGTATTTGGCATGAATTCATAAAGAATATACAAATAGGCTATTGAATAAATATGAATATTTAATTATTCACCCAACTGAAATCATTCTTATCAGAAGGGGTTTTTGTAGAGATTTAGAATTTTTCGTAGTTGAAAGCGTGAGTCAATTGAAGCTAGACAACCAGGGAAAACCTGGAAACATTGGATGGTCGTTTCGTCCAATTGTGGGACTCCTCAGTGGCAGTGCGAATCCATGATCCCGCCCTCGCAAGAATCGAACTCAGGTCCTACCAGTCTCGCGCGTGAGAACTTAACCTATAAATCACTGGGCCGACATCCGATGGTGTTGATATCTAACTCCAACCAATCCACGAAGTTGCTAAGGTGTCCCACAATAGGACGAAACCGCCGTACAGTGCTTCCAGGTTTTCCCTGGTCGTCTAACTTCAATTGACTCATGATCTCAACTATGAAATCATTCTATCATATAGTACTGTTTGTTTGAATCTTCTCATTCAGATTAATCAGTTGCAGTCTTAAATAACAATGGTAAGATACAAGTAAACAGCAGTAAGTGAATATAACATCACCCTATTGCAAAAGCAGGTGACTATCGGACTCAGTAGCTTAGTAGATAACGCGATGGCGTTTGAAGCGAAAGTTACTGGGTTCAATTCCCAGAGTGAACATCAACTTTGAGGTGTAGGTACATTTACCTGACGAGTCCCAAATAGGACGAAACTCGCATCGAACTGGATTTCACTGCTAGCTACTGTCCATCTTTGTTTATCATTCTATCATATATTTAAGAAATATTCTAAGTTGAAATTCTTGTGAACCGATAAACAGGTAAATTTATTTAGATGGAAGTGACTGAAGAATTCCCTTGTATATAAACTTATAGCAATTGATTTCTGCTATCGAATTCACTTGTATTTACAAGACACATATATGATAACTGATTGTTTTCAATGAGAAGTATGTTGTGAAAATGTTTAGAAAGATCATCGCAACATTTTTTAACTCTGTTTCAATGTAAAATAACATTTATTCTTATATCGAGTAACCGATATGAAACATGACGTTATTTTTCAAACTTATCATTTATGATGAGAAACCGAGATCTACCTTGTTTATCTCTGTTTGTCAATAATTTCCTCACCATTCATTCTTTTATAATATTCTAGCCGTTGACCAATATTGATTACTATCATTTCCACTAGTAAACTATCTTGATTGTTAGGTAGTCTAAAATACCTTTTGGTTATATTTCACACATTGATTGTAGACTATACAAAACTTATATAATTACTAAGCGTATGTGATGAATACTAGAATGAAACTGATCAAATCCATGAATACACTGAAGTTGTTTTTAATTTCATTGAGGCCAAAGCTATCGTAAAATTGTGATCTGATTATGAGTTAAAAGATGAATAGTCTTTGAACTTTTAATATATAGTTAATGAAATGTAATTCGTAAGGATAAAGAATAACAGTGCGAACTTGTTAGGTCATCACTTTTAGCTAATAAAAGTAGATAACATTCTTATATACTAAAACAGTTTTGGCTTTAAATAATGATACATAATTTATGTTGTTAAAGGATAGAATGTCAAAACATATATTGTAGTGTGGTCTACTTGTAGTATCAGTTTATATGTTAAGCCCATATACTTTATTCGAAGTAAACGATTAACGAATTGCGGCACTACATACTTATATCCATATAAGTAGTATATGGCAGAAAACCGATAAGGAAATAACTGAAATGAAACGCAATTGCTGGAAAAATGCATGAGCAATGGAATTAGAGAAGATGAACTGATATTTACAGAAGCAACAATGAAGATTGAGACAATTGGTTGTTCATTTGCAAATTAACCGTTTGCTTGATGGTTATCAGCATTTAGTGAGATAGTCACTAATTTGTGCTTAAATACATTTGATTGAAAAATACTGAGATCTCCACAAATCCCATTCTGATTATATTTGATTGTCCCCAACTACTGATCTCATTCACTATAATATGACGTGCGACGTTACTATGCGAATGAATAATAGATTGTCATTAGAATGAATGAATAACTCAGTCCTACGAATTAACTGATATAAGAAGGCATAACAATCTAGAATTCTGAATGATTTTATGTACCCCCATGGATGAGGCAATAAAACTGTTTTGTTAGCAAATTAACATTGCGTTATTTAAATAGAAGTATTACATAATCATTACCGTTTCTTTATTGTATGGTAAATGTCCGCTGAAAGTCATCACAAACGGTTGTTATACGTAGATATCTATCTCTTTTATGGTTAAAATATTAGGTAGTTTATAAGAGTTTTAATGATTAATTAATTATTACTATAGTTAGATTCACCAGTCAATATAGTCTAGACCCCTATTAAAAAACGGAAGTACTGGAAGGCCGTTTCGTTCTTGTAGGGAACTTCTCAACAGTAACCATCCACGATCCCACACGTGGGACTTAAAACCCGAACCTTTTGTCTCAGTCGTGAACGTTAACAAGATCGTGAATATTGCATAAATTGCATAAAAACCGTTACTTTTATTTGAATAAAATCGGAATTAATTTTAACCTTACAAGTTAAAGTTTGTTTATTTTTTAGATTCTTTATTATTTCCTACTGTTGTCACAACAGTGAGTTACACTAGTTTATGTGTATATGGCTTTTTAATATCATATAACCGGAATACTACATACTTTTTAATTGTAAGTTTATAATATTTTAGCTAATTATGATAAATGCATTTATTATTTCAGATTATATTTATTTACATGAGTAATTGGTTCGCCACATTCATATGCATGTTTACATATAGCGTTTTGAAACAGTTAGGAACGATTAATATTGTCATATGAGCAGATTTATACCTTTTCTTCAAAGTCATGAACCCTATCTATACTAGACTACAAATGAAAGCATGCAAGCACCAAATCGCTGTTCAGTCCCAGTATGCGATACCTCATAAGTAAGTACCCAAGTCCCCGCACACGGGATCCAAAACTCGGACCATCGATTCTGCGCGCTAACGCCTAACCTCTAGAACTCTGAGTCAGTATCTAATAGTGTTAGTGTCTAAGTGCAGTCAATCCATGACATCAGGTGACTATTTTACATTTTCTACGGAGGGTAAATAATTGACACCTGAAACGGATTAGCTCCACTGATCAGGACTTGTAACAAAAAATCCGGAAATTTGACCTTGGAGCTAGTTACTAATGAGCACATGATTGAGGGCCCAGTGGTCTGAAGGTTAAGAATTCTCACATGAGACTGAAAATCTTAGGTTCTATTTCTGTGAGAGGAATGGTGGATGTACATCGCTGATGTCCCCTGTACTTGAACGAAACGGGCGTCTAGTGGTTCCATGTTTCAATGGTTGTCTTCCTTTAATCAGTCCATAATTTTACTGACTTCAACATTATCCACGACCCCAGGCTTAAAAGTCATATAATTGCTGTAAAACATATTTCGTGACAGTAGGCAGGATGTAATGATTAAATGTTTTGGAACTGAACATGTTTTCTTATGAAAATATATCCTCAGTTTTAATTATCAAGGTATTTGTTTCAGAACATCACATCCAGACTTGATCACTTGCACAGTAAAGTATATAACACTGGAATAATCGATAGTGATAAATTTTCTGAGAAGTCCCTCTCAGTGACAATACTGTTGTTCATCAATTCAAAATTTAGCTATAGTGCAGTGATGGATTTAGGTTGCGAACATAAGTAATCACGCACAACCGAACTGTACCGAAGCATTTGGTAGACTATTGATCGGACTACAATATGATTTCCTCGAGAATATATGGTCTATCCAACACATAATGGAAAATATTCTGATACATTTAAGGTTGATTGTTTGGTATTTATAGTACAGGAACTCGATCACTACTTAATGTTTATCATTTCAATCCAAAGAAATCAGCTCCTAATGATTCCTTCAGGTCTTTAAAAGATAAAATAATTATACAACAACGATAACGGTTTGAATGATGAAGCAGTAGGACATTCTAAAACCTGAGAACTTTCAATAATGCTTTAAACAGTGTATTTATAAATGATATGAGCATGATGCGATTTAGTATAAGGTTTTGAGCAGTGATAAGAATACTTCCCCTTTAATTCATCGACTGGAGTTTTCAGAATACATCTGCTTCCATACTCAAAAACGTGATATATATATATATATATATATATATATACTACTTTGGTCACTATCTGTGTTGTTGAACGGAAATCGATTGTTCTTTCCTATGATTATTTGTTTCAACTAAATTGATGGTAGGTATCAACTGACATACCTGGACAACTGTGTATATCTAGAAATGTGAAAATTTGTCAGTTCAGGACTTGATTATGTTTTTTGTCATTACAAGCAAACAATAATAACTGTTCTTAGAACCAACATACATTGTGGTATCAAATGTAATGCAATATTTCATGTCAATTGAATTGGAATCACGTTTTACCAATAACTGTAAACAAGTACATAAAGCATTCTGAATAATTCTTGTTCAAATTATGTTAAACAAATTAGAAACAAATTACTTACGCCTATGACCCTTCGTAGAGGAGCATAGGCCACCCACCAGCATTCTCCATCCAACCCTGTCCTGGGCGAACCTTTCCAGTTATTTCCAGTTACCATTCATCCTTTTCATATCTGCTTCTATTTCCCCGCGGAATGTGTTCTTTGGCGTTCCTCTTATCCACTTCCCTTCCGGATTCCATGTTAGGGATTGCCTCGTGATGCACATTGGTGATTACCTCAATGTATGTCCTATCCACTTCCAACGTCTTTTCCTGATTTCCTCTTCAGCTGCAACCTGGTTTGTCCTCTCCCATACAACGCTGTTGCTGATAATATCCGATCAGTAAATGTTGAGTATTTTGCGTAGACAACTGTTTATAAATACTTGTAACTTCTTGACGATGGATGTAGTAGTTCTACACATTTCAGATCCGTATAATAATACTGTCTTGACGTTCATATTGAAGATTCTCGCTTTGAAGTTAGTTGGGAGTTGTTTTTAGTTCCATATGTTCTTCACTTGTAGAAATGCTGTCCTTGTTTCGCCGATCCTCGCCTTCGAATTTGCATCAGATGGTAATTGTTCATCATTGATGCTTCCCCGGTACGTGAAAGTTTCCACCTCTTCGTGATTTTCTCGATCAAGTGTGATTAGGTTGGTTTTCTCCGTGTTGTATTTGAGAATCTTGCTTTTTCTTTTGTATATGTTGAGGCCTATTGATGCAGAGGTTGCGGTTACACTTGCTGTCTTCGTCTGGATTTGTTCGTGTGTATGAGATAGGAGGGCTAGGTCATCTGCGAAGTCCAAATCATCTAACTGATTCTGAGATGTCCATTTTATTCCGTACTTCACTTTAAATGTCTAAGTCTTCATAATCCAGTCAATCACCAGAAGGAAGAGGAAAGGGGAGAGTAGATAGCCTTGTCTGAAGTGTAGAATCAAATACACTTGACGAAAATGTTAAATTGAATTTGTGTGTATTTTCCTTTACAAATAACAAGATATTACTGACTAGATTGAGAAATTTTGAAGGAGGTGATGATTCGATAAAGATTGCAAATCCATAACTAAGATTGATGTTCAATTGAGAGACCTTAAATTCTTTCGGAAATAGGATAATTATATATATAGGATAATTATATATATATATATATATATATATATATATATATATTTAATTTTCTAGTATGAAGTACTTTTTTCAGTATGTCTTATTGGTCATTTAGTCTTGGTCGGCATGTTTTCGAAGGATACAAGTTCTGTGAGTTATTTCATGAATTAAACTCTATTACAATTACTACTTACAAATTGTATAAATAACAGAAGGGGGTTTTGTGAATATTTTAATAATTTTATATAGAAGTCCCACTATAGAACGAAACCGCCGTCCAGTGCTTCCAGGTTTTCTATGGTGACCAGTGGAGCTAATCCATTTCAGGTAGAGACAGGTATCTGCCTCAGTACAATGGAAGATGGTCGCGCAATTTCGCGGATTGGTTGAGGTTAGGCATTAACTCGGTTGGATGCCGGCCGGATGAGTGGTCTATAGGTTAAGTGTTCTATCTGTATGAGAATTTGTGGAGATTGTAGTATTTTCACAATTGAATTCAAGAATCAATTTAAACTAGACCACCATCGAAAATCTGGAAATACTGAGGGGGTCCTTTCGTCCTAGTAAGAGACTCCTGAGTAGTGCACATCTGCAATCTTACACGTAGGACTCCAATCAAGGACCACATGTCTCTAACGTAAACGCTTAAGCTCTAGACAATTGTAAATGTCTATCATCTCGCGCGAGACCGAAGGCTGTGGGTTCGAGTCCTGGTTTCGCACTGCTTAGGAATCCTATACAAGGAAGAAACGATTTCCCAGTGTCTACAGGTTTTCAATGGTTGTTTAGCTTACATTCACCGTATATATCTGTTGAAAATAAACTCATGCAGTGTAGAGAATGTGAAATAGATTTTTAATAATCGTTATATGATTAATAAATTATATGATCACATCGACAATAAGAAATGCTTGCACATTTTGTTGACATAGTTACAATCAAAGTTGCGTTGATATGAGATCATCAATAGGCTATTGTCAGCGTTTAAAAATTATTGGTTCACAATCAGGACCATTACGAGAAAGAAAGGCTTGTCATGTTATCTATTGAAGCCATATTACATCGCCAACCTAATTGTGAACATGCGAACCATGTTGAATTCACAACTCATATTGTCAAAACAACATTTCGTCTACCAAGAGTATCACGAATCAGTTTATGTTAATTGATTTCACTCGGAATAATTGTCTTGAAAACAACTTGGCCTATTTTAAAAATATGCTTCATTTAAATGACAAAAGTAACATTAGATGTTGTTGAGGTCTAGGATTCGGAGTTTCGATTTATGATTACAGTAGACATTTTTGCATTAGGATAAGGTTTTATGGTTATACATAATAATTTAAAATATTTCTACTATATTCTAAACTCTCAACGCTAATCTATAGACCTAAATGATTATTCCTAATCCTAGAATTCTAAATTATTCCCTCTTGTTTATTGTTTTTGATTGGTTAAATCGTGTTAAGCTTAAAAGTTCATTTACCAGTTTGGTTCTTCTCTGCTCGCCTTCTTTATATGAACGTAGCTTAGGTCGGAAGATTTTGTTATTTTTTGTGAGGGATTAAAATCTTATATCTGTTACGTCGCCAAATGTTGCGTATTACGATAAGTCTACACGAAATTCTACCGATTGACCAAATTCAGATATCCTAGTTCGACCCCAATACTGTTCCCCAACTCCAATAAATCAGAACACAGCCGTTAAATGAGAATTGTTTATGGGATCAGCAGCAGAGCAAAAATGGTTTACAGACAAGGCATATTTATACAGTTACGATGACTATTAACAGTAACCAATGGAAAGGAAGGACACGTAAAGGTTATAATTAGGACAACTCAAAATTGACCAATAGGGAAACGACACATGAAAGTCATAGTTAGGACAACTGTAATAATGGCCAATAGGAAATAACATGTAAAATATGTGAAGAGACTGAAAACATGCCAATTTACATTCGAGACAGTTTTTGGGATATTCCTGTGAATATCCTAACAATATCAAAGCAGCGGTCTCGTTTAATTTAAAATATTCTCGAGCTTCAATGTATTGGATGATATCGACTTATGAATTTGTGACAAACACGTTTGACTTTCTTTCGATGATATTAATTTTTATTAAAAGTACGAAAAGTCTTTCAATCTAAATTTGATTTTAGATTACTGAATAGAAACATTATGTTAAGGGTAGTCAAAAGTAAACCAGTTTCTTATACACTTAACTACCAAGTAGAAGTTACCTGGTCATAAAGAAAATATTATTTTCCTTTCATCGAACAACAAATAATCACTTTACTAGTATGTACGGCGAGGTGAAATCTCGTCAGAGGAAATTTTGTAAGCAGAATAAGCTGAAATCATTTACATGTAGGATTTACAGCAAACACTTTATGGGATAGTTTTAGGTACTGGGAATCAAACTGAAACAGGGTAAAGAAAGATGACGACATATATTTCATTAGAATCATGGTGGTTACACTTAGAACAAGGAGGAATATCATAATATAAAATTCCGTGAAATATGATTTTTACGTTATGTATAAATTGTAAAGAAAGGTGTTCGCAACTTTATACATTTATACTAATCGCGAAAATTGAAACAAATGGGTGTACTTTATCCTTTTTTTACATGAACAACTCATTTGAAATCAAAGATAACAAGTTGGTAATATTGACTATCTAACTAACGTTTAGGATGGTTCGTTGGCAAATTCAAAGAAATAGCCGAAGACATTCCATCCAATCACCGCTAGAGGAACATTCTAGAATGTCGACATGTCGACGTGAAGGACCTCCTATGTACCTATTAGCTGTCCGAAATGATGATTTACTCTCAGTCAAAGACTATAAATATATAAGATTTTGTACTATATTTGACAGTTTTAAGAATAACATTCCTAGTTACAAGTCTTCTGTCTTCTCATTTACTACTTGGGAGGGTTTTTACGTTTGAGTGCTCAAGTATTATGTGACATACTAAGAATCTTAGTTCGAGATATAACACCAACAAAGACACCTAATACCTACCGAATGCAATAAATGACAGGTATTAACGTTGTTGCTTAAATTATTAGACTGATTTAAATAATGATAAACTTTATAGCCTTTTAAATAGTGAATATTAACTTTATCTGAATATCCCATGCTTAATTATATGAATAATGTATTAACACATTTGTTTTTGTTTCTACAAAATAACTAGATTCGTAAACAGGCTGAAGGAGTTCTAAAAAAATTGGTCTTTTCATATGAATCCTTATCAAGCCTGAAACCTTCTAGTTTACTTCTTGGTTGGATTATGGTGAATGTAAGTTAGATGTTATAAACGCTGTTTCCTGTGCATTGATTTTCGTTATATCCTGCTCACACAAATGTAATATAAATAAATTTATCTGAAGATACCTTTCAGTAAGAAGTTGCGGATATTATCGAGTTTCATTGAAACGATGAATTAACCTAAGTTAGACCACCATTAAAAACCTTAAAGCACTGGGAGGACGTTTCTTTCCGGTATGGGACTTCTGAGCGTTGCGCAACCACAACGCCAACACTGTTGAAATTTAGATGCGTGCACGCGAGATCAAAGGTTCGAACATTGTATACGGGGTGGTGAATGCTTTACATTCAGGTGTCCCATACTAGGATGAAGCGTTTTCCAGATGTTCCATGTTTTCAATGGTTATATAATTTAGATCGGTTCATGATTTCGATGAAAATACTTTGTTATGCTATTTTAATTAGTATGAAACTTCAGTTAACCTTTCAGACGAAACTATCAATGTAAATTTTTGAAAGAACTAAGCTATTTAAATTTTGTCACAGTTTGTTAAAGGTTCATAGTGTGAAGAAGATTTCTGTGTTGTCTTTTTCTTTATATTTATTTTGAATATATTTCTAAGTAAATTGAGGTGTTTAGTTACCTGCATCTTAGCCATAAATCAATTCACGGTAACATTTTGTAGTTTTTCAAGAAAATGAATCAGATTATTATGTGTGATATTAATCCTCTTAGTTGTACATACAGGAACCAGACATTTTAACTGCTAAGGATGCGCACATTTTATAAAATTACTTCCTTCCTTTATCTGAAACAGAGTGAACTGTTATGTAAAAGATTATTTCTGAGAGATGCTTTGTCCTAAGAACTTGTGAAGAGACATGAAATATGACAGCAGAGAATAAACATAAGCATTAATATAGAATTTTTATTGTTATTTACGATGTATTTTGTACAAGAATATATCTGTGGTATATTCAGTAACATTTTACAGCCAAATCACGAATCATGTCACTAAAAAATAACATTTCATCTATCATTTAGGCCTGAATAAATATGTATCGTTCTTTGAAATACAAAGTGAATGGAAAGAAAACTGATCTTTATCATTGACAACAAGTTAACTACATAGAAATTCATTCCAACTAAAATTTAGGGTTTGCAAAAACTAAATTAACAAACATTAATGCACAATTTGTTTCTTAATGGTAATCATAGTTAGATGCCCTGGTACGGCCGAGAGTGGAGAGAGTCCGCTCTCCCTTTAGAAATGCTATCACATGGTCACGTGTATATAGCCAATGCCAGGAAAGTCCTGCTCACTGCCTCCTCGTAACGGGGGTGTTGTTTACGAAATTCAGAAGACGAAAAGTGAACGTCCGACGCTTTAACCGGGTTGCTGGACACGGAAAGTTCATCTAGGGGAGTTGGAAAACCCTGATTCCAAACCAATGGTACACATTGTCTCCAGGGAACAAATGGCGTATGAATCAATCGTTGGTCACCGGCTAACATGGGACTGCATTTCACGAGGCTCCACTACCTTGTGGTTTAGACCGTTAGGTCAAAGGCTCGGGGTGTGGCCCCCTAAGAAAACCACCTGCTTCAGTTTGAGCACCTGGGCAGCATCACAGCTCTCACACAAATCAAATGAGATTTGTGCGCGGCATATATATTTGGTGCTGCTTTGTATCAATATTTATGTGTTTAAACAATAATAAATTAATAAATACTAGAAAATCGTGAGTAGTAACTATAAGTATCCACCTGGTATTATTGGAGATTTGCAATCGATTGAGATAATGCATACTAAGAATCACTAAACAAAAACAATTGTACTGAAATTTATCTGTTAGATGATTAGAAATTAGTTGTAATACACGAACTGACAGGACATTCTCTCTATCTAAAATGAGTAGGAAATTTTGACCACTAATTAATACATAATGATTGCATTAATAGCAATACTCCATTTTACATGAGTTACAATTTGTAAAAAAAATTAAAATTAACTTTTCGAAGTTGAAATCATGAGTCAATTGAAGCTAGACCACCATCGAAAACCTGGAAGCACTGGACGGCCGTTTCGTCCTATTATGGGACTCCTCAGCAATGCGCACCCACGATCCTGCATTAGCGAGATTCGAACCCAGGACCTGCCAGTTACAAGCCAGAGCCCTTAACTTTATTTAGTTACACTTGTGTTTAGTTCTAATAATTCTGTTTACAATTAATTGTATTGATAAAGTTTTTACATCTAAAAAGCTAGAATTTTCTCTCTGATATTTTTATGTTCTCTGATATAAATCGTTCAATGGAAGAGTGTTCATTGTCGTTATAGAGGACATCATTGACTCTTAGTTCAGTTAGAAAAAAGTTTCTTGATTATTCCATAAGCTTAAATTCATTTCATTTCTGTGGTGTTGTTCATGGTTGGTTATCTTTGTAGATTTAAATGTCTTTGTTCATCCTTTTTATTCAAGTTGATTATCTTATACTGTTGACCTCTAACCAAGTAACCGGTCGACATTTATCGAACGAGATGGTGGAATATACCGATTATTGTTTGCTCAGTAAATCATGCTTCTTGCTTTTAAAATGAAGAATTTACATTTCATTTCATTTTTTTTATCATATAACTTTGACTATTGTCAATGAATTATTTAGCTAAAACAATCGAATGTATTTAAGCAAACATTACAGACTATCTCGGTAAATTCTGATAACCAAACAATGAACAGTCAATTTGCAAATTAACAACCAATTGTTTCAATCTTCACTGTTTCTTCTCTTATTCCATTGCTCATGCATTTTCCGAACGATTGCTCTTCATTTCAGTTGTTTCCTCATCGGTCTTCTTCCAAAATACATTCTATGTCTGACCCACACCATATACTACTTATATAGATATAAGTAGACAACACCACAATATGACTAGTCACTGTTGTCTTATTATATAGTTTATTCTCATTGACTATATGGTTATTCAATTGGGTTTTATACTAACCTAAGGTTAACTAATGAAAGCAACCCGTTTATCAATAACAAAACTTTATAATACACACTTTAAGACTTCATCAAAGTTGATAATACCATTATTTCATTTATTTTCTTCGAGGACTCCCAAAACTAGGACGAAACAGCCATCAAAAGCTTACAGATTTCAGTGGTTTTCTAATTTAGATTGGTTTATCTTCGGAACCCTATGCTGCTAATCAAATAATTTCCTCAGTTTCGTTCTAGAAGAGTATAAAAACTGATTCAATGCACACCAGGATCTTATTTTATATGAATGATCATAAGTAAACTGATGACAAATACTTCAATCATCTATACAGATCACAAATAAACAGATTTCTACGTACATTTTGAGTACTTAAAGCAAATAAATATTGCTAGACACTTTAATATATATATATATATATATATATATATATATATCGGATAAAGGTCATCGACAAGTACTGGAAGTTGGTTTTGTTCTACAATCTTGAAGGAACTGATAATTATCATGGGGTTCAAGCTGACATCTAACATATGCACACATTTCATTATTTCTTTTACAATCACCCAATACTGCAACACAACATGTTAATTGTAATTCATTTGCTTCACAACATTTATTTACCTACTTACCTACATACTTACACCTGTTAACCCTTGTGGAGGAGCATAGGTCGCACAACAGCGGCCTGTTTAAACATCTAGGCTACCTGTTCCTGTCATCTAGATATTTCAACAAGTTATCTAATTTTGTTTGTTTTAATACATCATTATGCCTATTATTCGCACAACCTATTCAGGCGCGTTTCTGAAAAATGTAAGACTTTTCGCTGTAAAGGTTATAGAAGACCTAATTAGGGATATCGTGTTTGCTGGCAATATGCAGCGAGAAGAATGTACATTATCCAGATGTCGATTGACTGGGCTGCTAACTGCTAACCGGAGATCACTCAATATTTATCGTCGGGAAGGACGAAGAAGTAAGAAACGGAAACTTGTTGAAGTACTTTGTGCTGAGAATTCCATATTGTATCAAAAATATAATATTGAATAAAGCTAATAATAATAAATAAATAATAAATAAAATAACAGCAATCTCCATCCAACCCTGTCCTGAGCAATCCTTTTTAATCAGCATTCATTCTTTTCATATCTACTTCAATTTCCCCGCGGAATGTGTTCTTTGGACTTCCTCTTTTCCGCTTCCCTTCCGGATTCCAAATTAGGGATTGCCTCGTGATGCACATTGGTGATTTCCTTAATGTATGTCCGATCCACTTCCAACGTCTTTTCCTGATTTCCTCTTCAGCTGCAACCTGGTTTGTGTTCTCCCATAGAACGCTGTTGCTGATAATATCCGATCAGTAAATGTTGAGTATTTTGCGTAGAAAACAGTTCATAAATACTTGTACGTTCTTGACGATGGTTGTAGTAGTTCTCCATGTTTCAGCTCCATACAGTTGGACTGTCCTGACGTTCGTATTGAAGATTCTCATGTTGAAGTTAGTTGAGAGTTGTTTTGAGTTCCATATGTTCTTCAATTGTAAAACTTCACCTGTAGCTGTTCTATATGTTACTGCCGGTCATAAGCCTCCATCAAGGAGGAGGGTTGAACATGGGATTAGCCATCCCATCCCGTAGAAAAAATAATTTGCAAGGAAAAACGTTAACCAGAAAAAAATAATTCAAACATTTAAATAGTTTTGAATAAATATATTTTAAAACTTGATGTATTTTGTTCACAGTATTCTATAGTTATCATCCCACACAAATGAAAGCTCACCATTATTAATCGTTTATAATCCATACTTTTGTTTCTAAGATAATTCTTGATCAATTGAAAGTACAATACTTGAATAAGCCTTTTTTATATGCCTCAATTAATTTTATCTGTTTCATTGTCTACTTTCAGTTAAAATGTTGTGGTTATATAGATCCATATGATTTTCTCGATACAAAATCATTTTCATCTGTAGACATTTACGATGGAATAACATATAATGGTAAATTGATTTCAAATATGAAATTATTTAATGTTATTATATTCCCAATATCAGAACTTAACACAATATAAGATATTAACATTGTAAGCTCAAAGAGGCAAAATTCAAACAATCCTGTGATTTCCTTGTCAAAATGTTGAATTCTTGTTATGATATCGAAATTTATAAAGCTTTTCCATAATTTTTATATATAGTTGAAATCATGAGTCAATTGAAACTAGGCCACCATGGAAAACCTGGAATCACTGGACGGCCTTTTCGTTCTATTGTGGGACTCCTCGTGGCAGTGCTCATCCATGCCTCCCCCCTTTTCCATAATTAACAAGAGATTATTTATTGTAGGATTATAAAACTTTAAAAATATCTGAACAATTATTTGACAAGATATATCAATTATCTTTAGTTTAAATAACTGCTATTGACTGGTAGGGATCAACTTTATCAATTGTGAGGTAGGTATGTTGTACAGTATTGAATGAAAGTCATCTAATATCGTGAACTAACAACAGTTAAAGTTTAAACAATTTGTAACAAGTCAGTAATCTAAACACAGTAGTTTTCACTGTAAGTCATCCAGGTCCTGACATGGAGTTGACATGGAGTACTAAAGTGTAATATATACACAGAATGAAACAGTTTCCAGTAAACTGCAGCTTTTATTCATTTTTGTTAGCATAAAATTTGTCGGTAATGTAATCTAAAAAATATATTATCGTCTTAATAAAGATAGAAAAATGACTTGTAGAATAACATGAATTGACTATATTTCACGGCCTCCCATCAGATGCAAAGGAGCCAAATTTACATTACCAATATCATAGTGAACAACAAAGCGGGCAAAGATAACCTTTTCTGGATGCACAAGTTTGGTTTTCTGGAGTTGATCCAGATGGCTTCGGAGGTAGAGTTTTCGGAACTTGATATAAAACAGTGAAGGCTTCCTCTATTTCGATATGATGTTCACTGTCTACTAAATGAGAAAGGATGGCGTTGTTAATGGATTTAGTGACTCCTTTTCTCAACCATGCTGGTACATGTTGACCTACGACTGGAGCACCGAATCACCCCCTACCTTAATCTTCTCATCCATCATTCCCAATTCGTTTTTATCGTAGTTACCTTGATAACACCTCCTTTTATTACATATTATATTCGCACAACAATCTTATTATTATTACCATTACTATTTACCATTATTATCTCAATTGACAAGATGAGATTCTCCTACTATGCACTTTATTCACACAATTTTTTTTGCATTTTCATTTTTACTACATTACTATTATACTGATTGTGACTGGACACTTTACACCGAAATGATTTTGACCTTTATTATATGACCTTTCTAATTTACAAATAACATAATTTTGAAGTATATATGTCGTAATAACAGATGCAAACGTTCACCATTTTCAACATATAACATTGTCAAACACATTCATACATGCCTTATTTTGGCCTTTGTAAAATATCACAATAATGATGGACTTATAACTGTAGAGCTTGATAAAGTTATAATAAAGTACATAAGAATAATGTTACATTATTTTAATTTAAAACGGTCATGAAATTTCTTCTGGCTAGTGTTGTTTTTAGCAAGGTTGTTTTTTATGGGATGGAATTGCTGACCCCATGCCCAACCTTGCTCGCTTACCAGGGCTTGAGACCTGTACTAACCCTAGAAGTGATACAGGCGGAGTCGGTCATGAAATTTGGCAGCTATAAATTACCAAAAGGATTTACTGAAAACTGTTCCAATATCAAAATGCTTTGATTTCATTCTTAAAAACAATTGTTTTTACAAAAAGTAGCAATTTTTATAAATTTGTATTTTATCAATCTATGTAAGCAATACATAAAATGTTGAGTTAGGAGATTTGAATATACATAAAAAGTACTGGGTTCGAGTCTCAGAATGAACATCAATTCTCAGAGGCAGGTATACCTGATGACGGGTCCCGAATAGGACGAAACGCGCATCAAACTGGATTCCATTGCTAGCCACTATTCATCTTTGCTTATAATGTTTGTGAGTTAAGGCAATATCGAGGCAATACGCAAAGTATGCACATATGCCAATTAGAGACTGACCAGTTACAGTCCTAACACATCGATGGGAAGATTCAAACAAACAATACTAATTGAATTTAAACTTTAAGTTGGTCAAAAAAAGTGCAATCTTGAAGATTCATAAACAATTTAAATTATATTGGATGACAGTATGAAAGCTTACATAGAAACTTTTTTTTTCTTTTATGTGATTATTCTGAGAATTATATTTATAAATACTTTTGAATTTCTAGGATTAACAACTCCTATTCCATGTTGTGAATTAAATAGTACATATCAAATTATAGATACCGGCTGTCCTTTACGATCATCAACTGGTCCTCATCAATATACCGTAGGATGTCGTGAAGTATTTGGAAATAGTCTTGTACGAATAGTAACTATTTTTTCCTATTCATCATTGTTAATCATTTTACTTGGAGTGAGTTTATAAACATTTTTTTCAAAGTAAATTACATATCATAAATAATGTAATCATAACACTCGTAATATCTTTGACCAACTAGATAATGTTACTCACAGGTAGATTGTATTAGCTAAAGATTCAATGAAGTTGTAATGTAATAATCAAGAAACACTGACAGAAATCGAACAAAGAATCATTAGTTTCAGTGATAAACGATTGTATGATATAAATCATTGAAAAATACCATCTAAATGCAGTAAATTTGACAATGTTAACGTGACAATACTCAGTTATATACTACTGATTCCTTTACCAATATTCTTTGAATAACATATATAATTCCAAAACAAGCATATTTTCAAAGTGTTAGAAGGTAATCAATAATTAAACAAAATGGATTACAATGAAATCTCTCTTTGAATACAATTACACATTTAAGGTATGAGGTTCTGGAGATTGTTAAGTATTTGATTGAGATCATGGATCGATCGATTTCAGACTATCATCGAAAATCTGAAAACACTGGTCGGCCGTCTCGTCATAGTATGGGACGCCTCAGCAGTGCTTCCAGGCTTTTAATGGTGGTCTAACATCGATCGACTCATGATCTCAATCAAATATTCAACAATCTTCACAATCCCATACTTATGATTACTATGTGTTCACCAGTGGCTAGCTTCGTGAAGGAATTCCTGGAGTTCTAATTAGAAGCCGTGACCAATGGACCCGATCCGAGTCAGTTATCTACCTCAGAATATGGAAGACGGTTGCGAAAATCCGTGGATTGGTTAAGTGCCGGCTCAGTGTTCTAGAGGTTAAGCGTTCACGCCCTAGATTGAAGGTCCTAAGTTTCAATACCATTTAAGAGTTCGTGGGTGCGCCCTACTGAGGAGTCCCATACTAGGACAAAACGACCATCCAGTTGTGGTCTAACATCGATAGATTAATTATCTCAATCAAATACATATTTTACGAACAAAGATTTTATCTATAATGATCGACATATTTACAAACAAAAATTTATTTCCCGCTCTAAAGAAATAATCTATTGTCATACTTTAATTTATATATTACAAGCTTCAAAATAATGAATTCATAGTGTTCAAACTAATTTGCTTTCCAACATCAATTCTAATAGATTGTAAAGATTCTATCGAAGTAGGTGTAAATGTAACCATGTCGTTTTACAGTAGAAAGTCTAACAAATTAAGGTACTGCATATTTGTATGCAGTTCGTGGTGGCCCCCGCACACTAACTTACGACTACTATTATATTGCATAATATGACAATGAATCCTTCACTGAATGTCATTTAGGAGATTATATATATATATATATATATATATATATATGGGTTTCGGTTCTTCTGTCTTCCTTACAGCGTGAAGTTCATTACCTAGGTAATGAGAAATTTCAAGTTGTAGGTTATTCATACGCGCAGTTGATGAGTCTATCGATAGGAGATCTGTGCCTAGTGCATCTTGGTTTTACGTGATTTTCTAACTAAATTCAACCCGTGATATACAACCAAAAAATTCATCAATTTTTAAAATTTCCTACACTAAGAAGTATTTTTTATTGTTTGAAAATAGATTTGCTACAGTTTCTAATAACATGAAAAGAATAAAACTAGTGATGATAGATGTACTGGTGACAATGTGAACGATGAGAGCTATATTAATTTTTCCATCATATGACGTAGGTCAAAACGTAAGGAAAAAGACACTTTATTAACAACCATTTTAGGTGTCAGGACGTTATACACCACAGGTAATGGACGAGGTTTGTTTCAATGTAAACATTAACAACATTTGATGCCCAGTCAGTGGTTCCAACCTTCTCGTGAGGGAATGAAGGTCCTGGTTTTGATTCTCCGCGAAGGGAGGATTGATGTGCACTTCTAAGGAATATTATACCGGGACATAACGGTCGTCTAGTGCTCTCAGGTTAAGTTTAGTTTATCCAAAACACAAAAGATCTAGCATTTTTCCGGTTAATTATGAGACATGAATATCCCTTATGTTTTGTAGACAGTATAACTCAATATGATTTTATCTACATATTCATAAATTGCATCTAGAAGACATGGATTCCAACCAGAGGTATGTCCGTTAAAACCACCGTTGACGGTATGAATCTAATATAAGCGTGAATACTGGAATGTATATAAATCCTCCTAGCTAGTTTTGATCAGAACATAGCATATAATATACTTATACTCACAAATGACTATTACTTATTTCGACATTTTTTGTGTTATTATGAATACATATGTAAATATGTTTACATTTACATATTATAGATATCAATGATTGCATGCTGTATACTTGTACTCAAAGAATTGTGGCAAGCACTTTAACCAAAAAATAATAATAAACATTTTGAATAAATCAAGCTGATCGTGGTAACAGATACAAAACATTGCACCCCTGTCCTATTTTACAATGTATGTATATACATATAACTGTATTATAATATACTGCAATAGTAAAAGGGGTTATCTATGTATCGGAGAGTTAAAAAAGAATTACAAGTGAATTTCTATATGATCTGGACGATGTTGGCATGTAATTGTTTAAACAAAAAACTATTTTTGATATAATTCCTTGAAAACGCTTGGACCAGATCGCCAGGCTAAATGTTGGATTTACTTCAAATATATTCTTCTTCCTATTTAAAATGTCTTACATTAACTCGGCGCCCAAATACTGTGAAACTATTCACTCTAATTTATACGAAAGTTCTTATATGTTTTTGACTATGTTTTGTGAAAATTGTTTTCTTTCTTTAAACGTCTGAATACATTCCTAATAAGTTGTTGTTAATAATAAAGTCAACAATGATTTCTTTGTAATTAAACACTTGAAACTGGTGATTTAGAAATGTTGTTTGTATCATTGAAGTGATATGAAAATGAAGAATTACTAGACATATATGTCGTCTAAGAAAGAAACACTTCAGTTACAAGCATCTACGATCCCACTGAGGAATGGACTTAAGATTTTCATGTCTTTTAGTGGTTGCATGGCATTCGGATCACTGAGTCGATATTACGAAAACATTTTCTACTAACATTTACAACTTTCTCAATTCTGACATGGTTCTATTCCCTTAGACACGGTTTCACACTGGGATACTCGGAATCAGTCACAAGTGCTCATATAAGTACTGTTCGTTTAGAAAAGCCAGCAAATGCTTGACAGATGTCTTATTCTATAATGTAAAATAATGAATGGAAAAAATAAGGTTTCGTTTAAGAAGCTTTATTAAATATTTAAAATTATTATTTCCTAAACATTTTAGTTAGATTCCCAACACTGAATTGAAGAGAATTAACATTTATAGACCGTTAGGCCACTAAATTTGCAGCAGTTTTTAGAGTTACGTGTAAAATGTATGCAGTATAAAACTTGTGTCGTAGATTTGAATCTTGTAGCTTCCACAGAGGCTTGAATGATAGCCTGCGTGAAATTTGAAAACGTGAAGTGAAACTGTGTTCATGTATCGTAATATGGTTAATAGTTAACGCAAAACTTTCATAAAATGTGGCATTTATGTCAGATATAATTAAGCATTCTATTTAGGGTACATTTATGGAGAAAAAGACTGACCAACCATAGACCTGAGTAAACTAAAACGGAAAATCGCGATTGTCATTTGTCTTATTTTATTAAATACCTTTGATAAAACCGTACTTATTTGATCAGAAAGAATATTTTCTTTTGCATGATTCATTGTCATTTGTAATAGATTTATACACATGATCTATTCATGCATATCCTGAAGACATTAAACAAATTTTTGCTATTTTCAGTTGTGGGATTGTGGAGATTGTTGAGTTTTGATTGAGATCATGAATGGATCAATGTTAGTCCATCATCGAAAACCTGGAAGCATTAGACAGCCATCCTTTCTCAGTATGAGACTCTTTGTTAGTGAGCATGCACAATCCCCCATGCGTAATCTGAACCCAGGACCATCAGTCTCGCGCGGGAACGCTTAAATTCTAGATCACTGAGATGGCATCCGACACTGTTAATGTATAACTTTAACTAATCCACGATATTGTGCGAAAGTTGTTCGTTGTCTTCAGTGGGTGACTCCGTCACACCAGACATGGTAGAGGAGTTCCATTATAGAACAAAACGGCATTTCAGTACTTCCAGGTCTTCAATAGTGTGGTCTAACATCTAGCTATGTAAATTATTGAACGTGTGACATGAAAATCAATGGTTTACACTGTGATCAAAGAATTTGTAACTAGTTTAAATATAATAATTCATTTGAAACTCACAAGGATAGATTATAGAGTATATTTTTACTTGACAAATTGATAACCTACATCATTATAAGTGTTCATAAACTAATAACAGTAAAATGGAATCACACTAACCGACTTTGTGCTAATTTAGGATGAAACTTACATTTAGGGAGATTTATTCTCCAGTTATCAAGCAGTCAAGCATTATTATGATTCAAATATGAGATTCCTTTCTTGGAATTTACATAAAGTGTGATTTAATCAATGTAGCTCAAAAACTCCACAAGCGATATGCTAGCCATATACTATGAACTCTTATTGGTAGTCACATTTCGTGTTTATCTCTTTCATATTCTTTTCTAAGATGAAACATTCTTACTTACAGATTACTGTCTATCAATTTATGTGATAAGGAAATAATATTTTTTGTATCTATGATGTATAGAATCTATTCTGAAATCATAAATCTATGGATTTCTAACTGTACAGCGATAAAATAAAGTTATGTAAAATGTAATTGCTTATTTCAATGTTTTTTTAGAGAGTAGTAATCTTAAATTTACGTTAGATATACAGATTGTGCTTTGTAAAGTTATAATTATGAATTAACCTAATAATTTATCAATGTGCTATGTACCTTGACGGAGAAACTTTGGAGAATGTGAAAATCTTTACATATCTGGGGAGCATCATCGATAAACACAGTGGATTTGATGCAGATGTGAAGACGCGGATAGGCAAAGGGAGAGCAGTATATTTACAACTGAAGAATATCTGAAACTCAAAACAGTTGTCAACCAACACTGAAGTCAGAATTTTCAATACAAATGTCAAGACAATTCTACTGTATGGAGCGGAGACGTGGAGAACTACGAAAGCCATCATCTAGAAGATACAGGTGTTTATTAACAGTTGTCTACGCAAGATACTTCGGATCCAATGGCCAGACACTATCAGCAATAACCTACTGTGGGAGAGAACAGACCAGATTTGAGTGGAGGAAGAAATCAGGAGGAAGCACTGAAAGTGGATTTAACAAACATTGAGGAAATCACTCAACTGCGTCACAAGGCAAGCCCTCAGATGGAATCCTGAAGGCCAAAGGAGAAGAGGAAGACCAAAGATCACATTATTCCGAGAAATGGAGATAAAAATGAGAAGAATGAACAAAAGTTGTATAGAACTAGAAAGAAAGGCCCAGGACAGAGTGGGTTGGAGAATGCTGATCGGTGGCCTATGCTCCATTGGAAGCAACAGGCGTTAGTAAGTAAAGTAAGAATGCTATATACCCTTAAGTGAAAGTGAATTATTCACCAGCATACCCATTTCTACAATATTTCGTTTAATTTTCAAATCTATGATTAATGAAATATAAATTTACAAGGTAACAAAGAACTAAACATAAAAACAAGTTTGTTTTACTTCATCATTTGAAAATGAATATTGGAAAAGAATTTTGGGATGTTATTTCAACACAGATCATTTTTAATGATATACATAACTGAAAACATCTTCAACGTTATGAATAACTGTCGATACTGTGTTTTCCTGTAAAACTCCGAGGACAATTGTATATTATTAAAGGTATATCCATATTTCTTTCAATACCAGAATAACGCATATCACAAGTGCTATCTACAGAAAAGATGTTTAAAGCAATATTACATAGTTATTTAAATGTAAACAAAGAAACCAGACTAATTTAGTAACGTTTGTTTGTAAAAAAAAACGTTATGTAGTTAACTGCGTTATAATAAGTCAAGTGATCGATAAAATTACTACAGTGTATAATACTTACTTAAATCTGTTACCTTTTGTAAAGGATCATAGGCCGCCCATCAGGATTCTCTATTGAATTCCGTCCTAGGACAGTGTATAATACGGTTACTTAAATAACCTGCAAACTTTAATTGAATAAACTTAAACCTATGTAACCACAGTCTAAATTACTTAGCTTGTGATTAACAGCGTTAATAGTGTCAAGAGACCATTTAATACGTAAACTACTTAAGGAAATTGTTATGACTATTTGTTACGTGTCAGTTAATAAACAAGCAATCAAATTAGAAAGTATTGATTTTTTGCTAATGATGTATACAATAAAAACAAACTACTCCCAAAGAAAATATCTGACAATTTTCAAGACTAAGGTGACTGGAGCTTATGAACAATCAATTAAAATCATGTAGCAACCAAACCTTGTGATGTTACTTATGTATATATTTTAATGTTAATGATTATGTCTACTTAGACTATTCACTTAGTATTGTTTGTTTGAATCTTCCCATTGACGTTTAGGACTGCAACTGGTCAGTTTCTAATTGGCATATGTGCAGTTTGTACGTGTTGTCTCGATATTACCTTAAGTCACAAGCATTATGAGCACATATGGCCAATAAGAGACTGAACAGTTGCAGTCCTAGAAACATCAATGAGAAGATTCAAATAAACAATACCATGTAAATTTAAACTTCACCCCATTGCACAAACAAGTGGCTATCAGGACTGAGTAGCTGAGTGGATAACGTGATGGTGTTTGAAGCAAAAGGTAATGAGTTTGAGTCCCGGAATGAACATCAACTCTGCAGTTACATTCAGCTGACGAGTCACAAATAGGAGGAAACGTGCATCCTGGATTCCACTGCTAGCCACTATCCATCATTGCTTATAACTACTTAGACTATGTCAAAAATAAAAGACACCACTTCGTTGTATAAGAGTGGACACTACCAAAGAGTTATGTGCCACGACTGAACAACTTTCTTTTGCATTAAGATTTCTCAATGGTTACTCAAACTCATGCTACATTTTGGCAAGAAACAATATACAATAACCCTACAAATTGACAAAATGGTGAGTATATCGGTATTTGAAATAACAAATTGTGAATTGAATGAAGTAAGAACACGTTTACGATAGATAAGGTCTTATTTGATACCAAAAGTAAATGGTGCTTGACGTTTTGAAATCACTAACTTACCATATGGACACAAATTTAAAATATCACAAAATCGAATGTCTTAAACTAATTTACTAAGTTATGTTATCACTAATTAATGTGTAAGACAACCGGAAAAACTCAATTTCGTATGCCATTTATATAACGAATCAGTTAAGTCATGTATATGCTATATTTGATTAATGATATTTGATAATATCATAGATTTGGAATAATATCAATAATGTTCCAGGCTAAACAAATCAATTTAAAGATTAAATCATTTCAATTTCGTTTGAGGAGCACAAAAATGAACTATTTTTTTAAATTTTGATAGTTGAGATCATGAGTTAATCAAATCTAAACTACCGTGGAAAACCTGGGAGTACTTCACGGCTATCATCCTAGTATAGGATTCTTCAGAAGTGTGCATCCACGATCCTGCCTCGACAGATTTTAATCTAGGACCTATCAGTCTCGCTCGCGAACGCTTAAACTCTATACCACTGAGCTGGCATCCAACAGTGTAAATTTCTTACTTCAAGCAATCCACGAAATCGAACGACACATCTACCATTGTCTTCAGTAAGTTCCTATCTTACAACTGACCCATTTGAACTCTACTAGTTACTGCTTCTCACTACAACTCCAGGAAATATCTCTTGAAGCCAGTCACTATTGAGCATATGTTTATTAATATCAGAAGGGGTTTTTGTGGGTTTTATGGTAATTTTAATAGTGAGATCATGAGTCAATTGAATGAATGCGCACTGCTGAGAATTCACACAATAGGACGAAACGGTGTCTAGTGCTTCCAGGGTTTCCATGGTGGTCCATCTTCCAATGACTCTCAACTATTAAAATTACTATGATATCCACAAAAATCTCTTCTGATATTCTATTAAAGTCAAAATTTCCGTTCTATTAAAACACAAATAATGAATGAAGAATATTCTTTTCAATAGATTCTCTTTAGTTTCTACAATTATATATGCAAATTTAACTAATCCACGAAGTTGAGCAACAATTCATCAATGACTTTAGTGAGTTGATAACTCCCAACAGACCTAGTTGAACTCCACTGGTTACTGCTTCTCACTAGAACTCCAGTAAATATCTCTTGAAGCTAGTCACTAGTGTGCATATAGTATCAGTTTATATGTTAAGCCCATATACTTTATTCTAGCTACTGGCCAAGCCCATTCGCCTGCCATGAGTCATATTTTGATCTTGTTCAATATTCGCTTATTAACCTTGGCTATGCTTTTACATGAGCATATATGTGTACACTTCGTATCTTATTCATCGCATGTCTGTCACTCATTTTTGTCCGACTATAAATGTTGATTAACGCTTGCTTAAATCGAGTTGGCTTCCCAGCCATCTTCCATGCATGTCATTTCCGCCTCGTTCGCTTATTCGCCTGTTCACTCGCTCGTTCATATTCGCTCATGTGTTGTTAACTTTCTGACCTGAGTTATTCGACAATAAACTGTAGTTGCTGTTATCCTTTGTCTTCTGATTTTACGCGCCGTTAAGATTAGAATTATATCGATTATCGAAACGAACGATTAATGAATCGCGGCACTACAAGCATATGTTGATTAATATCAGAAGGGGTTTTTGTGGATATTATAGTAACTTTAATAGTTGATTAGCGATTGATAAAACATTCACCAATATATTTATAAATTTATATATACTACTTACATTGATCACAATCAAAGTGATTGATAAATAAGCAATATATGCTATAATACTAAATACCTTTTGACCAAATAATTGTTTACAGCCTTTATTATGATGTTTTTGTTCATTTTCTGACATATAATGAAAATTTGGACAATTAATATCAATCAATCTAAAGTTTTTATCCATCATACAGCATGGTATAGGTAATAATAAGTCTGAAAGAAAATATACAATATAAATGATGTTTAAGTATAATTATTACGCAACTATTCTGATAATAATGAATAGCAATACTATTAGATTTGGAGAAGAATAAATAAAGGTAATCGTTAGGACTCACAGCGAGACTATAACTTATGGATGACCTTTGAACGAATCTTAAGTGACCTTGAGAAATGTTAGCCAATCAGTGAATAAATAGCATAGAGTAAACATTTATCATACAAAACCAAGTAATTAAAGTGGATACACTTTTTTTACATGGTCCAAAAATTGGCCAAGGTTAGAAAAAGGTTCAAAGGTTCCGGAATCGTAATGCATAAGGTAGAGTAACTCATCCATATGGCTCCATAATAGTTGGTCTCTGGAGCCATGACAAGGTTACAAAAAACTTCTCAGCCTCGACCACATAGCTTCATTATTGTTTGTGGGTTTTCTGGTTGTGTAAGTTTATCATTTTTATTATGGATGTATCCCTACAATACTCATACCACTGAAGAGCCAAAACTTCAGTAACATCTGCAATTATTGCAGCCAATGTTACTGGCGCTTTTATTATAAAGTTCGCGGCGATCATTAAATGTGCCTTAGTCTCAATCTGGATCGAGGGATAAAGGTTCCTATCCTAGCAAACATCTTCCTTCAATATATATTACATCGAAGGACAACGTCACGGTAGTCTGCACAAAATCTACAAATCATTTGATTACTGCATTTACAAATAAAGAAACTTCTTAGTAGTCCCATTTACTGTAGCCGCTTAATTCTCAAGTCTTCTCTAAAATTCTCTGTCAACCGATCGCTCATGAGCATCAGGTACTGAAATTGGCGCCGCGATCTTGAAATCCCTAAAGAGCTTCTGACTGGCTCGTCCATAAATTATAGTCTCGCCGGAATTACTTATGGTCTAATACTATACGTATATTCTTATTGTATGTGTTATAGTATACATACTCTGTAAACTATTCCTAACTTTTCTCGATTTCCCATGGAATTCTTGTTTAAAGTGGCTCATGATGTAAATAGTATTAAAAGAACATTATTTATTCACTGAACCCATCTTTAGTTGTATGATGAATAACATAGTCCTTTTATGATGAACTTCAATGCCTGGAAGTTTGACCAAGGAGCCTTAAAGAAACTATAATCATTTTAAGAACAGTAATCATAATATTCCTGAGTAAAAGTATGTCTAAAAGTTACAAACTACTATTTTAATCAGAAGGGCTTTTTGTGGAGATTTAGTATTTTCATAGTTGAAAGCATGAGTCAATTGAAGCTAGACCACCAAGAAAAAAACCTGGAAGCCCTGGATGGCCATTTCGTCCTATTGTGGGACTCTGGCGCGAGACTGGTAGGTCCTGGGTTCGAATCCCGCTAGGTGAGATTGTGCATGCGCACTGCTGAGCAGTCCCACAATAGGACGAAACGGACGTCCAGTGCTTCCAGATTTTCCATGGTGGTCTAGCTTCAATTGACTCATGCTTTCTATTTTATTCATAAATTACATTTTTTGTTACGTAATATTTTTTTTCAGCAATTCTCACTTTCTAGATTTATGTAATACAAACATTCAATTTTTAATCTTAATATCAATGAATGTTCACATCAACTTGTCTGAATACAATTTTTGTTAATTACTATTTACACATGTACAGTATGCCATTATATCACTGGGTTGACCTATGTAGCTACTTGTTTCACGCAAAACGATTAAAGAAACAGAATGGCAAAAATGAAAAAAGTTGGACTTGAAAGAACTAATTAAGTCCTATTTAGTTTCTGCTTTAATATTCACCTAATAAATTGGAATTCATTATGAGGAATATGTGGATATGGTAGCGTTTTCATAATTTAAATTACAAACAAGACTGTAGGTCTTGGATTTGATTCGCTGTAATAGGAGGGAGGATATGCATTGCTAGGTAGTCCCACACTATGACTAAACGACCATCCAAAGCTTTCAGGTTTTCAATGGTGTTCAAGCTAAGATCAGTTTATGATCTCAACTGTAAAAACTCACATTTATTGTATGATAGCAGAAATCAGCATTTTATCATATTAAGTTTCTTATCAAAGGAATTTAGTTATCATTAACGTATTGTGGAAGTTATCATGGTTCCATAATATACATCATGGACTCATTTAATTTAAACAACCAGTCAAAACCAGAAAACACTGAATAGCTTTTCTAGTCCTAGTATTTGACTTAACAGTGTCAATCAATGATCTGACAGGTAGTCGAGTCTAAGAACTTGAAATCTCTCACATGGATTTTATATTTTAAGCCATTAAACTGCAATACAATGAATCACATGTCTTATTTCAATAAATTCGTATTATCTTTTTAGTAGAGCAGGTCCGAAAAGCATCTTATAGAATTCAATAATTGCGTAACCTTTTGATCTCTAAATTGAAATACGTTTTATCATGCAAGATTTTTCGGCTGGAATTTCTCGCATTTTCAAACCTTGTAAGATAAAAAGCTAATGATTTAGATTACGAACCACAGTCATTATTATAAGGTCAAAACAAGTGGTTGATAATACAAAAGCAAATATTCCCGCTTACCATCGTAAGTATGACCATCATATTCATCGTTACTTTCCGTTTTATCATCGTCAAAATCAAAAGGATTCAGGTAACCACAGCATTTTAACTGTTTTGATATGAACAAAAATGAAACAGTTGAACAAAGCGGTAGGCTAAAATTTAACTTCAAAATCAGTTATTTTTTTTAAAAAAAATTTGAAAATGAATAAACTGTTAATTTGAAAGAAGCAAACAAAACAGATTCCGCTGTCCTTGAACCCCAGTGATTGTCTTGCCTTCATTGTCTTTGACAGGTCTTTCTTGCTAACTATGTTTCCCTACCACTTTCTTCATTTTGTCATATTAGTTGTTTGATATTTCCTTCTCTTGCAACTTCTTCGTTGCTAGCTCTTCCACATATTTCTGCATGTCAGCTCTAGTGCTCTTCTTCACTTGCTTGTATGCTTCTGTGTGTTCAGTTCACGCCATGACTTTCCCCGATCTTGTTCGACTGTTGTTAACTGTTGTCTTCGTGTTCTTCCATTTTTGAATCTTGTCCAGGGTTTCGACAGAGATCCATTCCTCATGACGATGCTTCTTACGGCCCAGAACTTCCTGACACACTAAAGTTGGAGCTTCTTTGATCCCTAATCAATTGTCTTCCATGGTAGTTTCTTCTTCTTTCAGTAAATCTTGTAAGGCATGGAACCTGTTTTTGAGAGCTATCTTGAATTGGTTGAGTTTGCCATTATGTCGAAAGAAAGGCTGTATTGAACCTTTGTACAGCTGTTTTTCCAGTTGCTTACTGCTTCTTTAGTTTCAGTTTCGTCTTGGTCACAACCAGGTGGTTATGTGAAGATATGTCAGCTCCCGTACTAGTTCTCGCGTCCTCCATTGTTTTTTTTTGTAGTGAACGAGAACACAAGTGGGGGTGACCAAATGTATTTGAACACAGAATTACAGAATCTCACTAAATTCTGAGAACCATACAGTTAATACCTCATTCGCAAGATGTCAATCAATTGTATCAAACTTGACTTTTCTCTTTGCAGATATCAGTCAATCGTCTCAGACTTCACTTTTCCTTCATTTACGCATCTCATAGAACTGACATTTATCTTCGTCGTCAATCTCATTGGTGAGTGTTTAATACTGGATAACATTCATTGTGGTTCCCTCCTTCTTTGTTTTAAAGGATGTTTGGATAATCCTGGATCCATGAGATTTCTACTATATGAGTACTTTATGTGATTCTTTGAACAGTATCACAGCAAATTATATTTAAAATGGATGAAGTTTACGATGACCGAATTAAATTTTAGTATGGATGAATGTGTCATTTTAACAGATTGAGGAACGTGATTTGAGGTACAAGTTATTCATCTGGAAGATATTAGAAAACAAACATTGCACATACTCAAATATGACTCCCTACTGCTCCAGGGTCTAGATACCGATTAACTTGTGTAATGCGAATCTTATTTATAAAAATGCTTAATTTTCGTTTGTTAATGTTAAGGATTATAATTGAACCGTTTCTTCTGTAACAGATGCATCCTAAAAAGAACCCAGTACTATTTTACTCCCCAAATACAAGTTCATCCAGTTAACGAGTGGTAAATGAAACTAAACAGATGTTCTCGACTTGACTCCAAGGCACCAATTAATTTTAATGAACACTTGTGACTAAATGTCGATTCAAATACAATCTGTTCAAGTGAACATATAGAAAAGAAAAAGAAAAATCAATTTTCAGTCCTTCATAACAACTTGGAAATACATCATTTATTAATGAAACCCAGTTCACTACTGTTTTAACAGAAACTGCTAATCTAGTTCCATTATTCCGTATCACATTTAGACTATCATGAAAAATATCATGAAAGGTAACCATCATATATTTTTTTCTATCATGATAGAATATAATTATAATTTCATCTTACATCTATCATGACAACAGCTGCAAATAAACTTGCTCCATCAAGACTGCTCATTGATCGATAGAGATAAAACTTTCTTGCGAAAAGTTTTTCCATCATTTTTTCTATCTAAAGATAAAAGAGAAAAGAAATAGTAACTAGTATTTATTAAAATGAAAAGGTTCGTGAAGTTAGACTAAATAATGAATTTTCATTTTTAGAATTGTGTATAATAATTGCACGATATCGTAAATTGATGTACGTTTGACATGAACACCAATAGACTGCATCTCATTGGGGTCTAAATTTCAACTGTTCACGTGTGAAACTGAAGGTTCTGTGACCAGGTATTTGTGACGTCATGAATGTAAATCATTAAGAAGTTCCATGCTAGAATGAAACATCAGTCTACAGACTGAATCAACATTATGATTTATTAAGAAAACAGTTAGGATGTCTATAGTTAAAGATTTAAATGACTTCAATCACTCAGTAAATGAATACGTTTGTTTATCAAATTTCTAACAAATCTATCAAATTTTCTTCGTCCTATTGTGGGTCTCCTAAGCAGTGCGCATCCACAATCCCGCCTAGCCAGATTCGAACCCAGGACCTACCAGTCTCGCGCCATAGCACTTAACCGATAAACCACTGAGCCGGTATCGGTTAAGTAATCTGGCACGAGACTGTTAGGTCCTGGATTTGAATCTCGTGAGGCGGGATCATGCATGAGCACTGCTGAGGCGTCCACAATAGGACGAAATGCCCGTTCAGTGCTTCCAGGTTTTTTATGGTGGTCTAGCTTCAATTGACTCATGATCTCAACTATATAGAAACTACTTATACCTTTCGACATCAGTAGCACACTTCCCAGATTTTCTTGATATTCATCAAATGGAACTTCAACTTTTCGTACAAACGAACTATATCTTATCCTTATTATGACTAAACTTTCAACCTATTATTACAATCATAATTGCTTAATATATCATTTCATTTCATTCAGTACATAAAGAACTATACTTGAATTGATTACAAAACTTTTCTTGAACAATAAATTTTATTCATTAAAAGGTAAAATAATAAAATATTGACTTACATTTTCCGGATGTTTTAACACCATAGTTATCATCACTATATGTACAATTATACATACTGTTAAAGTAACTTCATACTAAAATGAAATACAATAGTAACGTATCTTATACAAGAAAAATCTGTTTTTCATATGAGTACTAAAAAGAATTATGCAACTATTATAAATAAATACAAAAATGCTACTTTAGACAACAGTATATCAATGAATTAGATTGAAACTTATCGAAGAAGATTTTCAACATATACTTTTTAAAACAAAGATGGATAGTGGCTAGCAGTGGAATCCAGTACGCATGTTTCGTTCCATTTGGGACTCGTCACACGAATGTATTAGCATTCCAAACTTTTTGATGTTCCCTGTGGGACTCGAACCCAGTACCATTCGCTTCAAACGCGATCGCGTCATCTACTGACTTCTGAAAGTCACGTGTTGTGTTTTACCTTCATACAGTAGCATTAAAATAATATTATTATATTTAACTGACCCTAAGTATTGAATTACTTTATATCCTTCATAATGTGTTAATGAATACTTTTCGGGAAACTGTAAAAAGATTAAATTTAAAATTAATTTGATAATTGAAAATTTTAGTGCCGATTGTCAGATATATCTGTACCAATTCGAATGCGATTTCCTAGGGGATTATAATTTGTGGATGACATTTAAAAACAATTAAGTGAACTTGAGAATGTTCACCTATTAACTAGAGCTAATCAAGAGTTATAAACCATTGTGAGGAATTAGATTTATAGTTTTCACCATGAACTGACATCAGCTAAAATGCCAAAACGCAATTTCGAAAAATGAATGAATGAATTTTGCGCAAAAGTCCAAGTTCTGTTATTTTATATCTCATTGGTTTGTCCATAATTTATAGTATCGCCTAAAATCCTTATGAGGATCAATATTTAAATGTACTGTAACAATGTTTTAGTTGGCACGTACAAATTTTTCACCATGTGTAAGCCATTTTCTTCATTTTACTGGAAGATTAAACTTGTTTAATAATAACTGTTATGTTTTTTCAAACACTGGTGACGAGATTTGATTGTGATTAAAGGATCCTGGTAATGAATAAATTTATTTAACTGTGTACATTGTGACCTATTCATTTTTATTATTTCAGGCAAATTTCATAATCTAACTAAAAACAAATGGTTGATTTTCTGATTACCTGACGAAAGAGAGGATCAATAAACCAGAATCGGTTTTCCCCATGAATTTTGATTGTTTTATTTAAAATCAAATTACATGAATATCTCACCACTGTTAACTCACAACCATCACAGAGATTTAACTCAGACTATCTATGTTTCCCTTACTTAATTAGGGCCTGTTACCACTCGTTGAATAAAGGCCTAGTTGTAAAAGTCGCCAACGAAATTTGTTCTAAGCTCTTTTCTAGTGGTTGCCAGGTCATATTCATTCATTCGATTAGTTCCTATGTTCACTTTGCCTTGAAGTTTGCAAGTTAGGGTTTCCTTTGTGGTGCAATACGATGGATTTTATTTATTGTATTAACCCCCAGCAAGTTTTCTTAATTTCCTCTTCAGATAAAACCGGTTTCTTGTCTCCCACAATAGGCTATTGCTGATGGTATCCGCTAAACGGACATTGAGTATCTTGTGTGGACGATTGGTCACAAATACTTGTACATTCTTTCATGATGGTTGTAGTAGTTCTCGAGGTTTTATCTCTGCATAGTAGAACCGTCTTAACGTTCATATTGAAGATTGTGACTTTGATGTTGGTTGACAATTGTTTTAAGTTCCATATGTTTTTCGGGTTTTAAAAATGCTTCCCTTGCTTTGTCAATTCATGCCTTTATGTCTGCATTAAAATCCCCTTGTTTATCAAAGATACTTCCTATGTAAGTAAACGTTCACAGTATGCGTTTAGCTATTTAACAACTGAGCTCTCATTTAACAGTTTGCATTATCAACTTCCATCATTTTTTTGATAACATCCTTATTTGTGACCATCCGATCACTCCTAAAAATTAAAGATATCCATTATCCCGAGATTATCACTAGTACCGCGAGAACGCGTTTCACAGGAAATAATCAATGACGATTCAATTATCTTGTTATTGAGATCTTATTCTCATTTAAATGTAGAATAAACATGTTGTTTACCATTATTGTATTTATCTTTAAACACTTTGTAGTTCTTTATTTCCATATTTTTATGGATACCCTTGATCAGGAGTCATAAAACATTTAGAATTATAAGTAATATCGTTTGATTTGTTAAGCAAACATGGAAAATGGCTAGCAGTGGAATCAAGGTATTTATGCTACATGTTTCAGATACTTTGAAAAGACATTGAATCAATACTTTAGTATGTACGAGTTAGAAAGTATTTAAAAGTATCTTATAAGAATACACAATGGCCAGAAATTGTAAGCAAAGAAGGATAGTGGTTAGCAGTGGAATCCAGTTTGACGCGCATTTCGTCCTATTTGGGACTAGTCAGCCGGATGTACCTGCATCGCAGAGTTGATGTTCATTCGGGGACTCGAACACAGTAACTTTCGTTTCAAACGCAATCGCGTTATCCAACCGGCCACGAAGTCCGGATATCCACTTGCTTGTGCAATGGGCTGAAGCTTAAATTCACTTTAGTAGATTCAAACAAACAATACTAAGTGAGTTTGATCTGTTACTATGGATTTAAAGACGATGTTCAAAAACAATTTTATTTAATTGAAATGATGTTATAAGTTTTTATGAACTCACCATAAGAAAAAGTGTACTACTTCGATTAAAAGCGATTAATGCTCCAAATAAATAAATACAAGCAAATACAAATGATATCGCCATCAATGGTAAAATTATTGGACCTTAATAAATCAAGAAAAAAAAAGCTATGAATGTATAACACATTAGTAAATAGTACAATGTGTTATTCCCAAATACTAAAACTACTACTTAACTGTGGTATTATATGTAACATGCTGAGAAGAGAATGTTGAACGTTAGTGTAAAATGAGCTTATTTCATTGACAGTAAATTCCTATATTGTTATTCATTGTACAGTATAACGACTGATCGATCAAAAGTTATGTAATGAATTTCAATCCAAATGGTATAAGCATAATAAATGTTACTTATAAGTTTATCGAAACTTGCATCATAATTTATGTGTATATCTATTTCACAGACAGGAACGACGGTTTTATGTAGTTAAGATCATGAGTCAACTGAAGCTAGACCACCATAAGAAACCTGGAAGCACTGGATGGCCGTTTCGTCCTATTGTGGGAATTGTGCGAATAAAGTTGATCCTCATTCTATGGTGATTATAGCTGTGAAAGGCTGTATAAAATTTGCACATAACTAGTGACTGTTATTTTTCTATGTACCAATCAACCACTTGACTAATAAATTTCTATTTCCATACTTTACATCATGGATAGATTTTAGCTAGACAATTACTTAAAAGCAGTAATCTGTGGACAGTTATTTTGTGCTAGTATGAGACGCCTCAATAGATAGAGAATATCAAACGGTGAACATACACAAAACTCTACAAGAACTTATTTAGCACATATACCATATGACAAAAATCATTGTTTTAGCATTTAGTATGAATATCTTCTTAATTAGGTTCATGCATATTTACGTACATGTATTTTACGATAGAAGTAAATTATCAGAATAGGGTTGTGGAGATTATAATTCTCAAAGTTCTAGTGAGTTATGAAAAGTGGAGTCCTACTGTATCGGCGGCGGGGCAGTTACCCACCTAAGACAATCGAGGATCGTTGTGTAATATTGTGGATTGGTTGAAGTTAGACATTACCGTAAGTCCTGGGTTGAAATCCCGTGTGCAGGGTCGTCGATTTGCACCGCTGAGGAGTCCTATACTAGGATGAGACGGCCGTCTAGTGCTTCCATGTTATTAATGGTGGTTTAACATTGATCGGTTTATGACCGCTATTATTAAAATTATCAAACATTAAAATGTTCCTAACCACCACATTGCTTAAAACTACAGTTATTTTTCTTTCTTGAAATTTCAATTCGCTTTAAATAAACGTTTTGTAGAACTTTCTGTCAAATTTAACTATTGTAGTGAACTCATTCATGTTAAATGTTCTCTAATTATATATAGTTGAGATCATGAGTCAATTGAAGCTAGACCACCATGGAAAACCTGGAAGCACTGGAAAGCTGTCTTGTCCTATTGTGGGACTCCTCAGTAGCAGTGCGCATCCACGATCCCGCCTCACGAGATTCAAACCCAGGACGCAACAATCTCTAATTAAACAAGCATTTAGATAAAAATGTGTAATAAACAGTCTACAACATAGTGATGTAATGTAAAAGACAAAAGAAAATATCAGTGTTTGGCACATTCTTTATGTTTTCTCAAGGTTATTTAAAAAAACATTGGATATACAATTAAAACGTTTTATATATGGCAATACTTACGATTAATTTCGATTATAGTTAAATTTTGTCAAGCCTTTTTTATCAACCTATCTAACAGACAATGCCATTTGAACAGTAGCAATCCATCAATTTCTTTGTATTATGGTGATTATCATGTCTGTAAAAACATGTACGCTTGATCACATGTGACAGGCTACGCGCATATCTCTTTAGGTTAAATGTCAATCGCTGAAATGTCTCTCGATGAATCATTCTCTATCCTTTGTATATACGTACTCGAATCCTATCAATAACCTTTACCTTGCTTAGCTGCGCTTTGATTCTAATCGACTATAAATAACACCTCAGTGCTCGTTCATTCATACACACTAGCCACTTTCTTTAAATTCTCTCGATGTGCTTGTGACTTTGTTTTCTGCGCTATCCATTAATAAACTGTAGTCACCGCTTCTTATTCACTTCTGAATTCAAACATCGTTGGGATTTATATAATAACGGTTATCAAAGTGATTGATTAACGAATCTTGGCCACTACAGATACATTCACATAAGATGAGATAAGGTTCTTTTTCTACTTCTTCTTCTTATTATTATTATTACTATTATTGTTATTATTATTATTACTAGTAGTAGTAGTAGTAGTAATAGTAGTATTATTAGTATTATTATGGTTATCAACTTACGTGTAAATGTTCTCAGAACACTATTTACTCCATCACTTACAGTTCGATTATTTATACCATCTATTCGTAATTTTTTCAATGTTGGCTCAATAATTTTAACAGGAAGTTTCGTCCAAAATGCAATGACAAAAAAGACAAACGCCAATAATAAAACCAACTGAAAAAAAAACATTGAAAGTTTAAATTTATGGGGTTATAAAAATGCATGCCAAACGATGTAGTGTCATTAAGGATTATTACGAATGGTAGTTTTGTTATACTGGTAATTTTCATAAATGTGTTACGCTAATAGAATCCTTCTTAATCATTTAATGTTCATTTGTCCGGTGTGAGGTCTGAACGTCATGGATTTGATCCATATCAGGAATACTTATGTGTGAATTGCTGCTCAGTGTAAATCGTCTTTAAAATGAACAGTCGTAATCACATTTTCAATATACCGACTGTTTATCTAACGATTTATGAGCACGTCCTAAATGTTATCGTAAATATCACTTTTTTCAATTGATTTTATTCTTAATAGTTCTGTTCATGTTTACCGTATTATCTGACAAACAAAATTGGCGAGACAATAATTTATGAACGACCTTTGAGCGACGCCAAAGTTTCCTTGAGAATAATTACAGAATTAATACGGGTAAAAAAGAGGGTTATAAACTAGTGTGAGGACTCATGTTTAGGATAAAGCGCAGTGTTGGTTGCTATATTAAGCGCACATAATTTATCCTAGCTTCTGGACAGGCCGATTTATCCATTCTTCTTGAGTCACGCTTTGACCTTATTAATTACTCACATTTCAACCCTAGTTGTTTTTATAAGAGGGTATGTGTATGTACATCTTGTCTTATTTGTCACATATCTGAAGCTTATATTTGTGTGACTATAAATATCATTAACACTTGGTTAGATGGGAATTGCGTCACATGCCTTCTCCAATAGGCATCATTTCACTTCGCTCTCTTCCATCAGTCCTGTTCCTGTCAAGATCAGTGAGTGTACAAAATAAATATGTTCAAAAATCCACTCTCGTATTCGACTTACTTAATTCCGTTATTCACCAACACTATCTAAGTCGATAAAGTATACGAGGATAGTCAGGATGTATATTTTGACGACAGTCATTTATACGATCTATTTGGATTCAGATCCGGGAGCACAAAAGGATTTATAGTTGGATGTTAAGGTTATAAATTAGCGTTAGAATTTTCACCACGAACTGAAATCTATAATACCAAAATGCTATTTAGCTATATGGTTGGATGTATTTGGCGTCGAAATCCAAGATTCGCAATCTTAAATCTGATTAGCTCGTCCATATATCATAGACGTACCATAAAATCAATCATATGAAATGAACTGAATAAAATCACTGGATTATCTATGCCTTTTTGCAAAGCACAACAATAAAGTGATGTTTAAAATTGTATTGCACTAATCATTTTATTTCTGTGCTTATCATGTGACTTATTGATCAAAATAAAAGCTTTTAAATTTAAAAATAGATTTCTCTACAATTTAATTGTTGGATCTATAAATCGATTTAAGCTAGACCACCATTAAAAACCTGAAAGCCCTGGACGTTCGTCTAATCCTAGTATAGGACTCCTTAGCAGTGAACATTCACGATCCCGCACATGGGACTTGAACTCGGGACCATCGGTCTCACGCTCAAACACTTGACCTCTATACCACTGAGCTGTCATGCAACGATATTAATGTCTAGTTTCAGTCGATCCATAATCTTGCGTAACCCTTCATCCATTTCTTACATATGACTAGATTTAATTAATTCAGTTGTTAATATATCTTATTGATTTATGTCACATTTTTTACAATCTTATTCATGTTTAAGCAATCATTTTATCGTGTTTTTTTTACGACAATAGTAGTTTAAAAAGTTAATTATTCCATTGCTTATTGATATTCGCTAAGGTTTGATGACTTTACTCTGATAGGTAAAATGCTCATTTCTACAGATCACCTTTTTTAACATATATTGAAACTGTATGGGTAGTTACCATAAGAATGTGAATGGCATTTTTTTGTGTGTAAAAAGTGTGTTAAATGTAAAATTTTGAGAAGTTTTATGGTCACTCTGAACAACATGTAAAAATGAATGACAAGTGATAATAGGAAAAATCAGAAGTTATCGACTAACAGTTATTTCACAAATGTATCTAACTTACAGGCTATGTAATAGAATTTATATCATGCCTTTAACGTATCAAAGTAAATTATCGCTTCGTTCATCTATTTGGACGATAAAGTGTAAGTCGTAAGAAACAAATATGACATTGTAGCGTCGTGCTCGTACGGCGAGGTATCCAATTATGTTGTCGGCGGAAATCTGATTCTGTCTATACTCGTATATAATAAATGACTTTATTCCGCGTTGGTGAACAACGGAGTTAAATAAGTCAAATACGAGAATGGAATCAGGATACATATATTTTCTACAGTCATTGATCTGGCCAGAGATTCAGAGTGATGAAACGAATAAAAACTAACGAAGCGAAAGATCATGCGTATAGGAGATGGCTGGGAAGCCAACTCGATTTAAGCAAGCGTTAATCAACATTTATAGTCGGACAAAAATGAGTGACAGACATATGACGAATAAGATACGAAGTGTACACATATATGCTCATATAAAAGTATAGTCAAGGTTAATAAGCAAATGATTAACAAGATCAAAATATGACTCATAATGGATAGGCGAATTGGCTTGGCCAGCAACTAGAATAAAGTATATGGGCTTAACATATAAACTGATACTACAACTTGTTCAGAGGGCTAGTTGGCCTTCAACCCTAGTTATTGTCACAACGAAAGAGGAAGACAATGATAACTTCTTATAATTCTTTTTCGATGATACGATCTAATTCATGAGCCTGATATCATAGATGGGGTAAAAGATATGCGGTTGAATACCTTCTTTAAAGACTTTAAATTATGCACTCCGTCAACAATTTACTCAAGAACTTTTGAGTAAACATCACTAGGCACGAATACACTAAACAAAACATACATCAGAAGTGAAAAGCCTAAATAAAGTCACTACCAGGACTTAAAATCTTTTGTGTCTAAAACTACTGTGTAAAATTAACATTGTCATTCAAATATCTTTGCTTCATCTACAGAATACACTGAGAACGGAATTCATTACTGTGAAGCTAGATTCTTCCTTAGTAATTATATATATATATATATATATATTTATATATATATTACAATGAACGTCATCCAATGCTATGAGCCGACCAACGACTACGATGAAGACGTTGAAGACCAATTCTACGATAGGCTGCAGTTGATCGTCGAGAAGTGCCCGACAAAGGACCTGAACATTTTGATGGGAGATTTAAATGCAAAGGTTGGACTGGGATATAAAGTCATCCCGTGGCTCACTAATTAGAATTAAGTCAGTTCACTGCTTCTTCGGACGGTCATTTGGTTGCATACAATTATCAGTCGATACCATAAACGTTTTACAAACTGATTAATTTATATTAACCTTTAATTTTACAGTTACCATGATACTTTACACTACAGATAGGAGTAAATTCACCAATAACTAATGAAAGCATAACAGTAAGATATATTATAAGCAAAGATGGATAGTGGTACTGGGTTCGAGTATCAGAGTGAACATCAACTCTGAGATGCAGATACATCCAGCTGACGAGTCCCAAATAGAACGAAACGCGCGTCCCAGATCCCACTGCTAGCCACTATCCATCTTTGCTTACCATGCTTGTGAATTAAGGCTATATCGAGGCAATATGCACATATGCCAATAGGAGACTGACCAGTTTCAGTCCTAAACATCAATGTGAATATTCAAACAACAATACTAAGAGAAGTAAGATATATTGTTTAGCTGAATTATTATAAAAATTTCACTCTAAAAGTTTTTCCGTACAATGTGGTCTACCTATGAGAGACCATTTAAAGCTTGATCTTAAAGACAGTTCAGTTGTTTTCAAGCTAACGTAATTAGTGTATGAACAAAAGCATTTTCAAGCGGAATTTATAATTTAACATTTAAGGCAAATAGTATACACCAAAAAAATTATTCACTTACTAAACAGATTATGTTTAAAACATGAAATATACTGCGTACTGTAGAATGCATTTCTAAAATTTAATTAGATACAAAACATGTAATTAAAACTATTGAGTTCTAAGAAAAATTATCAATCAGTCAGTCAGTCAGCTACAACTTAGGACCTAGGCACATATTTGCATCGGTTCAAGTTGCTAGACCTTATTAGCCCAACAAGATGAACACCGAATTCATAGAAGTAGCTTATTCAATGGTAGTGATATACACGAGAAAGATTTGATATAAGGATATATATATATACAAGGGGCAAAAATTAGTCCGTACGAAGAAAAGCATAAAGCAATTTTAATCTTGTAGTTTAAGGGAAGACAAAGAGTGTACACACCTGCGCCATTGTGATCAATTCTGAGTTATGTCACCCGGTCTCCATACATTGATTGTGATAGTTAAAGCGAACCCAAACTGAGCAGTCTGTATCAACCAGCATGGCAGATACGAGCAATATTTCTAAGGCATCTGTGATGAAATACTAGTAGCTTACGAGTATCTTCTACACTTAATAGTAACATTTTGCAGCCAAAAAGTATAACAGAGCAAAATGCTGTGTAGTATACTCGTCCATTAATTGATAGACGAATATCTCGTCTTCGCCACAGGTGACGTAAGTTGCAAAGGCCAAACGAGCTTTTTGAATCCGTGCTGAAATTTTGTCAGACACCAAGCCATTAGGGCTGATCAGACTTCCAAGATAAGTGAAGTTGTCGACGCGTTCGACTACTTCACTCCCTATCCTTAGTTCAGGTGTTGACGCTGGGCAGTCCTGGAGTAACAATTTACATATAGATGGAGAGAAACGCATCCCAAATATCTTGGCATTGTTACTCAGTGTTACCAAAAGACTGCATTTTATAAACGTCTTCTCCAAACAGGAATAAATCATCTGCGTATTCTAAGTCGATAAGTGGACCTCCTGGTAGTAGATCAACTCCTGAAAATTCAGTCGATGAGAGTGTTATTTCCAGCAGTAGGTTCTATAAAAAACATCCTTAGATAGTTAACATTGGATCACAAATAGTCAAGTAACTTTGATGTTATGTTTAAGATGCGAAAAAGAAATAGGAATTCAACTGTTGTGGTTATAAATGTACATAAACTGAATTGGTTCTCAAATACGTACCACATGTTCCAGACATTCTCCACCTTGACAAGAAACGGAGGCTAGCAAAGTGACTGGTGATTTCAAGATATATGGTCACTAAGTATCACTTTCAGTCATATCAATTGGCCTAGATCTTCTTATTAAGGTCTGTGAAATAATCGTAGTCTATGAATGGAAATCTTAGATGATATAGCTTGAAAGCAATTACTCTGGTGACGTTAAGGGCATTTCTACATCTGTTATGTTTTTAAAGTTTCTTATAAATCAATTTCATTATTTTTCGAACTGTGTATTTTATGTTGCATTTTATACCATTACATATGTAATCATTTTGATTCTTTTAAAGCTCATTTCTTTAGATTTCTTGTTCATATATTAGTGCAAAAAGCTTTGGTCTATCTATTAATCACTTTTGTTTATTTCAATGTTCCTTAGAACTGATTGAATAACTAGATTTAAAAACGAGAGCCTTCGGCCAACCCTTTTAAAATCTGGTTATTTTTTTATAACTGGCCACTGGTTTTATCATCATATTATTACATTATAATTTGATATCGAAATATAACTAATTCTTGTTCAAATCAATAATACATAACTTTGTTCATAGTTGAAAGCATGAGTCATTTGAAGCTAGACCACCGCGGAAAACATGTAAGCACTTGACGGCCGTTTCGTCCTGTTGTGGGAATTCTCAGTAGTGCACATCCACGACCTCGCCTAACGAGATTCGAACCCAGGACCTAACAGTCTCGCGCCGGAGCATTTAGCCGATAGACCACTGAGCCGTTATCCAACGGTGTTAATGTCTAACTTCAACCAATCCACGAAGTTGAGTAACCGCTCATCAACTGTTTTCAGTGAGTTCCTATCTCACAACAGACATGGTTTGAACTCCACTGGCCACTGCTTCAGTGGTCTATCGGTTAAGTGCTCTGGTGTGAGACTGGTTGGGTCGTGGGTTCGAATCTCGTGAAGCGAGGTCGTGGATACGCACGATAGGTCGAAACGGCCGTTCTGTGCTTCCAGGTTTTCCATGGTGGTCTAGCTTCAATTGACTCATGCTTTCAACTATGAAAAATAATAAATCTCCACAAACCCTTTCTGAAATATCTTTTTATTGATATTATTCACTACACCACTTTTATTGAGTTTTCTTAATGAAATGAAGTATATTATGCATTATGGTAATGTGTTTCATCATATAACTTACATTGATTAACAAATTTCTGCTGATTGTAAGGACACCAATTTAACATTCACATTTCCTTACAGAAAATTCTAGAGTTCATTGAAGTCCATTCAGTAAAAGCACTTTTTGAATACAAACCAATTAGTAAAATAGAGTCTGTTAGTAATTAAACTTTAAATTGATAAATAAACATCCAGAAATTATTGATTTTTCATGCACATTGTTGAAGTGAGAGTAATAATGAAGATTTTAGGTAGAATAACAAGAATTCTTGTTTAAGATGTAGCTAGTACATGTCTTTTTAGCGAGAATCAACTTCTTTCATTTTATCAACAAGTGTCCCTGAAAATTTCCATTCAATTTCATTCAGTCACCATTGAAATGAGCTGCTGAATTATTTTACGAACATGATCAAAATAGTGTTTAGTTTACAAGAACATAAACATTTCGTATATTATGGACAAATGACAAAAGCTTTTAAAGTAAATATCACTCCTGATGTCTTCAAAGCATTTATTTATTTCTGTTGGGATGATCCAATATACTTCTCGCAAAAGACAACAAAGACTTAGGAAACACTAAGAAGTATATTATCCAATCAGCATTCATTTGAAGTTATACCAGAAACATCACGGAAGTGAAAAGTCACATGTACAGTTTCAGATTGGTTGATTACTATACTACTACAATGTTTAGTAGTATTCCAGAATTTTCAAAAAAAACCCATAGACTTCTAAAATACTATACGTAAATGAACCTTTGGAGTAAACAGCTTAACTCATATTCTATGCCTTCTCACTAATGTTCAAGTTGTTGTGTAGTTTTAGCTTGAAAGATTATGAGACTAGTTTAAAAACCGAGTATAGAGTTCAATTAGTAAAACTTTTCAATTTCATACAAAATTTTTATACTAGCCCATTTGACTAAGTTTATTTTATGCATATACAAACCAATTTTCATATAACGTTATTTATTATATACATTAAGAATGAATATAGAAAATCACATTATAATGTCGTGCTTACAAATAACTGTTTACAACACTTTTAGTTTAGGAACAACAGTGTTATAAAATTGAAGAAATTCATTTAAAAACTGGTTAAACAATCAATTGAATATTAGAATGAAACAAAGATATTTGACCGACAATGTTAATACTACACAGTAGTTTTAGACAAAAAAAAAGATTTTAGGTCCTGGTAGTGACTTTATTTTTCACTTTTGATGTATGTATTGTTTAGTGTATTCGTACCTAGTTATGTTTACTCAATAGTTCTTGAGTAAATTGTAGTTCACTTTTGATGATGCTAACGGAGTGCATAACTTAAAATCTTTGAAGAAGGTATTCAACCGGATTTCTTTTACCACAGGACAGTTATGATGATAGTTTCGAAATATTAAGTTATTTAAGCTCAGTCAGTAGAGCATGAGATTATTAATCTCAGGGTCGTGAGTTCAAGTCCCACGCCAGCCCTCACAATCCTCAAAGCTGAACATGACATTACTGGGAAAATAAACTTTCAACATGTAACACTAAGAGAAGGTAAACAATAATGGACGTGAGAACATTTATTCGGAACTCAATTCTTCGGATAGCATGGCTCTGCTTTGCAGGCTTAGTCATTCTGTGTAACAACTCTTTTATTCTTATTAAATATATTATTCTATCTGCAACCTAATTGTGTTCTCTATCATATATTGGTGATGATTACGATAGAACGAGTCAGTGTAGAAAATGATATGACTGCCACATAAGATCTTATAGATTAGATAATCACGTCATGACAAATCTACAATTATATGATTAGGTCTATTATTAGAACAGTATCAATAACGAATTTAAACTATGATTTCACAGATACAATGAAATCGAAACAACGTTTCACCGTTGCTAATAAAGTTTGCATTGTTACATAACATCTTCAACATTGAAAAGCATATTCTATGACGCATTCAAGCAAATCAATTTTATAACACTTATTGTTAGAAACTTTAATCTATCAATAATGTTCCACAGTGTACTAAAAATAAATTTAACATGAAACATATTCTCAGTCAGATATAGTTCAGAATGATCCTTAATCTAGAAATTACTTAATTAAATTTTCGGCTTTGTAGTTAATGGGGAGTCCTTAAATCTAATGTTTTGTACATTTCACAGATTGAAAGAGAGTTTAATAAAGCATTGAACATTTGTATTATTTTAAAACTTACTACTACTGATAATAATATAAACTCAACACTCATTGAAAACGTCAGTAGCTATCAAGAACCCCTAACTTGTTGGTTAATATCCTATGCTTTTAAAGTGGATGTTATTAAGATTGAATCTTAATGCGGAAATTACCACTGAGACGCAGGTACAACCAATTGAATAGTTCCATACAAGATAAAACGCTTGTCTAGTACTAATTACAATCTACCATTCCTCAGCCAGTCAGTCACAACGTAGAACTTCATACGTACGCACATCAGTTCGAGTTGCCATAACACATTAGCACAGAGATGCAGCTATCGATTCAAATTCCATAGTAGTAGAAATAGTAAGAGTATAAGCAGTAAAACGAAAGATTAGGGTTTGAAGATGTTATTGAAGGAGTATAATCCATTGAAATAAATTTGGAAAAGGAAAAGAGATAGGGACACGAAAAATTTATAAGATTAGAATTCGGGAGTACACACAGAATGGATGCACCTAAGCCACTGCAAACGATTTTGAGA